AGAAAGATCTGATTTTGCCCAATTTCGCTAAAAAATGCAAGGTTCACCCCTAACAATTTGAAATGTTTCATAAACATCTAAATTTTACTTAAAATGCAAGGTTAACCCCTTACAAGCTGCAATTTTCAAGAAACATCTGTTTTTTCCCAATTTCGCTTAAAAAAGCAAGGTTAACCCCTTTCAATCTGCAATTTTCCAGAAACATCTGATTTTGCCCTAATTCGGCAAGGTTAACCCCTTACAATTTTTGATTTTTCATACAAATCTGATTTTGCCCAATTTTGCTAAAAATGCAAAGTAAACCCCTTACCATCTGAAATTTTCCATAAACACCTGATTTTGCCCGATTTTGCTAAAAAATGCAAGGTTAACCACTGACAATTTGAAATTTTTCATAAACATCTTATTTTGCCAAATTTTACTACAAAAGCAAGGTTAACTCCTAACAATCTGAAATTTTCCAGAAAGATCTGATTTTGCCCAATTTCGCTAAAAAATGCAAGGTTCACCCCTAAAATTTGAAATGTTTCATAAACATCTAAATTTTACTAAAAATGCAAGGTTAACCCCTTACAAGCTGCAATTTTCCAGAAACATCTGACTTTTCCCAATTTTGCTAAAATGTAAGGTTAACCCCTTGCAAACTGTTAAATCAATACATGAAGTGTCCCATTTGACTTTTTTAAAACAAATTATTTTTCCAAGTTTTAGGGTAAAGGAATTTTCTCTTTTTCCTTTCTCTTTTGTTGTTGCTATATTTTGCGAATTAACTCATTCGTATGGAATGTTCATAGTCAATCAGAATATTTCACACATAGGGGCCTAAATTATATTTTTTTAAATTTAATAGAGACGCATTGATCGTGCTATCATATACCATTCTATTACTATTGCGAATTACTGTATTGTCTGGAATGCTCACAATTAAAGACACGTTATTTGAAAGATGTATAAATAATATTTATATTACAATGTACATCTTTATTCTTTCCCGGTATAATTAATGGCGTTTCTTACGTCAATTGGCAATCGCGTCATTATATAATGATAGTCAAATTGATCAAACGAAACTCCGTTTTGATAATAGTCAATTATGAAATATTCATTGATTTATGACATACACCTTTGTTTCAATTTTGATACTACCCGTAGACCTGCCGAGCAGCTGTAGATATCAAACTAAACCAAAGTATAAAAGATAGAGGGTAAAAAAAATCAAAAAGTTATGTGCTAGTCAAGCTTTCAGGGATCGGTCTGAGCCATAACAATGCCCCAGCCGATCCTTTAGTTCTCTTCCGGGGTCTCGGCGTCCCGACCAATACACACTTCCTTCCCTATCCACCCATATAACCCCGGAGGGCCAGGCACCATGTAAAAGCAAAGAGCTAAGGGAGGAACAGGGCGGCCCCTAAGCCCTGATCCTCCGAGTGGACCACATGCCCTGAACCTGTACGAAGGCGCCAACCTGGAACTCGCGGATAGTACCAGCAGCAGTGCTTACCGATTAAGCTAAGGTACTGTTGGTACTTTACGACGGGAAATTAAATCTCTTATAGTGAATAATTGAACTCATTCGTTAAAAACCAAAAAGACACCAGCGGGATTCGAACCCGGGACCCCGCTAACCGTGGACGAATCGTAACCACTCGGCCATTTCGTTACCTTAGAATTTTCCTTAAACTGAGAAAAGTTGTCTTTATAGGTGAGCAAACGCGCCAGGAAGATTACTGGGTCCATTTGCTTTACCTTAATGGGTAAAAACAAGTCGATATAATGAGCCCAGTGTGTTTGGTTTGTTAGGAAGCTGCATAACACAGCCTAATGTGCAAAACAGTCGTGTGCTAGGCGGATCATTACGCAACAATGAACACCGCAATTGTGTATCTTCAAAAGGCAGACGCGTAGATTTCTACTCTTTGTATCTGGGCACATATAGATTCCCACCTCCCTCTTCAGCTATTTCGACTTTCTTAAAAAGAAAAATAGAGACTGTCAGCGAATCTCCGGGAGTCTGAAATAAGGATCGTCCCCTCGATAGACCTCAGACTCAGTAAAGTTCAACATTGGGCTCTTTTTCAACAGCTGTTTTTGTGGAAACTTTACATCTGGATTTTTTAGAAGCATCTGATTTTGCCCAATTTTAGTAAAATATGCTCCAAATTTTGCTAAAAAAGCAAGGTTAACCCCTTACCATTTTAAATTTTTCATACAAATCTGATTTTGCCAAATTTTACTAAATATACAAGGTACACCTCTTACAATTTAAAATTTTTCATAAACATTTCTTTTCTTTGCCGAATTTTGCTAGAAATACAGGGTTAAGCCCTAACAATCTGCAATTTTCCAAAATCATCTGATTGTGTCCTATTTTGCTGAACAAAAATGCAAGGTTAACCCCTTACAATTTGATTTTTTTTCATGAACATCTAATTTTTCCCAATCGTATTTAAAAAGCAAGGTTAACCCCTTACAATCTGCAATTTTCCAGAAACATCAGATTTTTTTCCCCAATTTCGCTTAAAAAATGCAAGGTTAACCCCTTATAATTTGAACTTTTTCATAAACATCTAACTTTGCCAAATTTCAATAAAAAAGCAAGGATAATCCCTTACATCGGAAATTTTTCGGAAACATCTGATTTTGCCCAATTTCGCTAAAAAATGCAAGGTTAACCCCTTACAATTAGATTTTTTTTCATAAACATCTAATTTTGCCCAATTTTACATCTGGAATTTTTCAAACAAATTATCAGGTAACTGGATCATTAAACGGGACAGGTGCACATCGGCCTTGGAGCTCAGACCATGTGTCATGCACTCCTCAATGCATAGATGATGCACATAACACTATTGGTAGTACAGGCACAGCTGGGGGTACTGCCCAAATAAGGATGAACGCATTGCGTATGTTTAAAGAATTACCCACAATTCCGGTTTTTACTGTTTAGGTCTGGCTCTAATCACTTTACGCGATCCCCTGACGTCTCAAACACTGACTTTAGGCAAAATAGTCAGACTTTCGCGGTCTAGTAACCAGACTTTGACTCTTAACGAAACATCGAATGAAAAGGGAAACATCAAATGCATATTGCAAAAGATCGAATGCAAACATACCAATGAAACATCGAATACAAATAGCTCGAAATGTCAAACATATGTGTAAAACATTGCTCACATATTTAAGAATATCGCAAATATATTGTAAAACAACACACACAATTGTATCGAAAAACATCGCACATTTAATGCAAAATATCGAACATAATATTGAAAACATCGCACATATATATCGTCAAAAACATCGCACATATAAATTGAAAATCGCATATAAATGTAAAACATCGCACACATATATTGAACATCGCACATATATTATAAAACATCGCACAAATATATTAAACATCGCGCAAATAATGAAAAACATGGCACACTTATATTGAACATCGCACATAAATGTAAAAGATAACAAACACATATTGAACATCCAACATATGTATTGCAAAATATTGAATATTGCAACGTTTGACACGCCATACTGTCCGGCCGCCATTTTGTCCGTTACTGGGACTGAGAAACGCACGATCCGGTGAGCTCAACGAACACCCCCCCCCCCCAATTGTTTGAAACAGTTTCCTTGCCGTGTGGTGGCGCCCTTGTTTTTTACCATCATGTGTTTTTTGTTTGTTTCCGGTGTATATAATGTCCTCAATTTGTATCAGATCTTATCTTATTCTCAAATAATTGACTGGGTGGGTTTCATTGTTTCAGATGTATAGACTCTTGATATAGAATAAGTGATTTTGCAGTTCTCCATGTACTGGAAATTTCGGGGAGTTTTTTCACGGACTTAATATCGGCAACATAGCAAACATAACGACCCCACCCGGTGACCAATTTGATATCCGAACTGAACTTAAAGGAACCAAACCGAAGTCGGTTTCGGTTTTGGGGTGAGTTTACACAAGTTAGGAGAGAGACATAACGTACAGCTCTTTATAGCAACCGATTTTCATATCTTCACAACCATGTCTCAGTTAAAGAAGATACATGTACCCACCTGCAATGACTCCTCCTATCATGTCACCCGCACCGATTGAAGTGAAGAGCCACCCGTATGCTGACATGTGCTGATCTCCAGTGACCTCACGCGTGTGACTCGACTCGACTCGAGTCCCTAAGGGTAAATGACTCGACTCGACTCGAGTCACTGCGAGCAATTGACTCGACTCGACTCGAGTCCCTCATCAGAAGACTCGACTTGACTCGAGCGAAGGCTAATAAGACTCGAGTCCCAAATAAAAATACCTCATGGTTCTAGAAGTTTCAGAAGTTTTGCAGATAAAGGGAAGTGTCTAAAAGGGAAGAAAGAAAGAGAGACGCAGCTTTAGAAAAACAGTAGGTAATGAAAACTGAGGTCAAAAGTGAACTTAGACTACCGAATGATATTTTGAATTGACTATTATGATAAACGTGCGCAACAGGTCATGGTAATAAGGAGCATATCACAAGTGACAAGTCAAGTCATCTAGTTTTACGTCATTAAAGAGGTTGTGGAATGCTGAAAGTCGTTTTGTTTTTTATATTTTTTTTTATTGTAGAGTAGACCCATATAATTATATCATAATGACAAACTCCCATTCTTTTGTAATGTGCGTTTATATGTTTATAAAACTGAAATTCATCGAGTAATTTGTTGGTCGGCGAGCGCATAATTGAAATCAACAGTCGTCGGGTTCTTCGTAAAATCAGAAAAATCGTGACGTAATAAACAGGACTCGTTTATACTACGCTGCATAGGGAGTCCTGTTTATTACGTCACGATTTACTATGTTTTGTTTGCTGCCCACAACGACGACTTTTACACAATTTGCACGTTCGGGTCGAAACAGGACCTGAAAAACAGCTCTCAAAATTACATTTTGTATTCATTTCATGACAGAAACAATAGTCGTTTTTATTTCATCACACCTTAGGCTACATATACCCGATAGCGCGAACCATGCACACTGCCATCTCCATCACCGATGACGAAGATGCGGCAGCCATGGTAGCCAATGCAGACAGCATTCCTCCAGCCATGGTCAGCTTGCGTGGGTCACATGACTTCACCAAAGCACCTACGAAAGGTCATGCGTTTGTAGTGTCCAACTTGTTCATAAATCTTCTGGAGGGGTCAAACTCATCAATGATGGGTGTATAGTCATAGTTCCAAAAAATACAATTTCTTAGCGAAGGTTGTTATCTACTTTAAGCACTGTTTAGATCGGATTGAAAGGATTCACTTCTCACCGGCTATGATCATACCGAACCCCAGGGAGGCTCTGTAGGCGAGACCAGCGGCAGCTGTGGTAGTAGAGAAGCGCTGGAAAAACTGAGGTATGAAGACCCCCAACTTGGAAAGTAAAGATTAGTCTCAGGGTGAGAAAAACATGTAATATAATTTATGTTAAATTCAACCAAAATTTGTAGTCATACAAGACCAATTTGGTCTTGAATGACTACAAGTTTTGGTTGAATTTAGGAGAAATTCTAACCCAAACAATTGGTTATAGAACAACCCAAGTTTGGGTAGTTCCAGTTTTCACCCTTTCTTTGGTAAAATTAACCCAGGCAATTTTTCAGTGCGTGGAATTTAATTGCCTTTAAGTTTTTAATTTAATTTTAAATGTTTTAAATAAACACGAAGTTTAAAAGCTAATGAAATCCTGTTCTGTCTCGTTGTTAGACAATGGTTGGTTAGACAATGGTTTCTGTCTTAAGACGCACCGTTGGAAATTTCCGTTGGTAGTTCGGGTTTTCTTATTCGGCGATGAGCGCGCAAGCGTTGACACGACGCACACGCGTACGCGGTTGCTATAATTCGTCGGATCGGTGCGCGACATCGCGTAGCTGTAATCGGCTCAGTGAGAACGTGTCTCGGACGCTGAATTCAGGCCCAATTTAAAACATGATTCAGCACCTTTTGATTTGAAATTGAGATCCTACAATGTTGTTTTTCTCGAAATATACAGTTGAAGCTGAGCTGAAACTTCGTCAGGTTAGTTGTTCAGCACCCTTCTTTAGATTCTGAGCACTTTTGTTGCTTCAAACGAACAAAATGCACAAATTACAGTTGATGTACTATACCTTTAAATCGTAACATGTTCAAATTCGCAGCAGACATGTACATAATCCGCAAACATTATAATCTATCTCATCCGCCATGCAAAGCTTTAAGTTATATATGTGTTCTATTTTGCACGTTGTCTGTGGGTATTAGCAGATTGGTGATTGCTCAGTATGTTGATAAAGACATGAACTTTGACACAGCCAGAGTATGTCATGGGAAAGATATTTGTAGGGCCATCGCAGATTTGTCCTTGACAAAAATATCATAGGATAACAAGTCATTTTCAAAATGTTTAAAATGGCGGCCATTGCATGTTATTCTATGATATTTTTTTCCAAAGGACAAATCTGCAATGGCCCTACATAGCCAAATATCTTTTCCATGTCATACTCTGACAGTCTGACTGCATGTGTGCCAAATTCCATGCTTTTATCATCAAATGAACAACTCCATCATACTTTGCACCAATGGTTTTAAGTCCCCCACCGCACCCACCTCCACCCCTAATAAATCCGATTAAAAATCAATTAATGCAAAAAACCTTCCATATGTTTTCTACTTTTTAATGTTTTTCCCATGCAAGTACAAACCCTGAGTTAATGAGTGTTAAAATCTCCTTCAATAAAATGGAAAGCACTGTTCAAGAAATTATAAGCATGTGTCAACAAAATCAACCAACAACTGCTGACTTCAGGAAATGTGAACATTGTGTGGAACTCATACCCTGACTTGAACCTACATTTTTTCTTGGCAATGAGGAACACCTTGATTTCAAAGCTGTAATATCTTACTTATTCAATTAACACTTATTTTTTTAGTTAAATGTGCTTATTATAAATTACCATGCTCACAATGAGAATTACTGCCCCTCCAACAAAACCTGAACATTTCACCTCTAAACCCTGCAAGTTGTATAGAATCATACAACAAATGTTGAATGTAATTGACTTGAATCTTGTGTGCAACATAATTTTGATATCGAACTCGACTTATCTTGCAATCGTTTATCTGCAAGAAGAAAAACAAATAATGAAATATTATGAATACAATAAAACGGAGTATTTTACCACAGCAAAGGGTCAGAGTCCATTTGTGAGTGCAATATTTTTATGTTACTTCATGAAAAATGTAAGCTAAAAACCCTTCCAAATTTATACGTGCAACATTGAAGTATACCAACCGACAAGGAGGAGGGGGGGGAGGGGCGTCTGTCGACAATTCGCCATATGTTATTACCCATTTGTCCCCAACTTGGATGCAACCATTTTTATTTTCTGGCATCTCGGTAAAGTTATTGATCGTAATACGCACGCGTGAAACATATCACGTGAACGAATAAATATGTCACCTGATGCGGAATAACTTCTTATATTCCACTGCTGTCGGGGTGGTTTCGCTATATAGCCAACCTCGTTTTCATGGGTACGATCTCGCTGCGCCATGTTGTTTCCCATCATGCCTCGCGCGATCTTGGGAACGCGCACGCGCCCGTGGAGTCGAGGCTGCGCTATAGCGTGCTGCGCTAAAACCCTCTGGTCTGAATGCTGCAGGATTCGGGTTTGAAATCGAGGAAGAATTTTACATTTTCATTTTTTTTCCCCAAAAAGTGAATTTTCTATTCGAAATTGTGTTTAATCAAGTCCCGAGTCCAGGGCCCAGGTGAGAACAGTTATTAGATAACTGATGGGGCTACGTACCCTGGTAAAATAAAACGATAAATAAAATGATCGATAAAATAAATTTCTCCCTTTTCTTCTCATTATATGCATGGCAGTAGTGCTGCACGTCGGTATAGGTAATGCCCCGCCCCTTTTTTGTACACGTTCTATGGGATTGTGGGGGGCGGTGTGAGGAGGGAATGAGGAGGGATTTTGCGGTCAGTTAAAAGGTACCGGATGTATTGTGTAGGGATTATATATGAATTTGTTTGTCATATTTTGGATGAATGGTATAGGTTTAAGATGGCTGTTAGAACAATAGGCCCATTATGCTTAGCAAAACAACATTAATTAGGATAACCTATAAGATGCTTATAATAACTCTACTGTATAAAGTGTATACGGTACGTCTAAATGATAAAATCATTCAATGCATGAAATGGGTCACTTAATAGCTCGCTCATTGCGCATGGGATGTACATGTACATGTATAAGCCTCTGTGACCATCACTTGCAATGAATGCATCGGACCATTTCGTTTATACAGCAAACAGCGCTTGGCAAGCTTACAAAAGGCGCGGTATAATCGTCACAGTTATATAATCGCTTCAATGACCTTGCACTGTTAACATCGACGGTATCCCAGCGGTGAATGGAGTCAGACGTTACTAGCGTTATTATAGGATTTGCTTGACCATTTTTTACACGTTCTGTGAGCAAAAGTTGCGGGAGGGAAGGGGGAGAAGGAAGTGCTGAGGTATGTATATTGGGCCAGGTTTGTCAACAGATGAATTGAATTACAAAAGAATAGAGAATTTAAAGGAAGTCTATTCACAGAGTATTTCTTTTTAGTGATTATTGAAGAATTTATTTATCATTATGATGCATACATGTGCATAGTTGTCTACGGAGAGTAAATATATCAGAAGTAGGGAAATATGTACGATACTTATGTCCATACGCTTGTAATACATTATAAAACGATGTATTCACACATCTCACTGGTGTCGAGCACATGGATTTTACGTCTTTTGGATTATTTCCGCTACAGTGAACTGCTCAGTAACTTGGAAAGTCGTGGTGTGTACCGCCAACGAAACCGTGAATGAAGTCAGTCTCTATAAAGCGCCCAAGGCCTAATACAATTGTCTATCTTACGTATGAGGCCTATTGTAGTTGTCCACAAAACTGTCCACTTTATAATTTCAGACCTGTAACTAATAATATTGTCTTTTGTACCTGACATATACCGGTTTACAATAAACTGTCGATGAGAACTTCCAAATGTTGAAATCTACATGCACACATGCTCTTCTTCTTATAGCAGTTCAATCGTCAGCGATCACAATGTAACATGATACATGTAGTATGAACTTAATTATTCCTCGATCTAAGGTATGAAATAACAATAAAGAATGACTGCAAAGAGTGGCTAATGAAGTTGCTATTTTATATATTATTTTCTTTTCGACAAGACGCTTCTCTATTATTTTGAAAATGACAATAATCTTCTTCTTTTTTCCCGAAAACTATTGAAGTCTTTAATCATCACTGTCCAGCGTTTTCTTCGTCTTCATCTTGTTGGAACAGGCCGTCAAATGTGTTACGGTGTTTAGGCATTATCCTGTTCAGAGCCCTATTCACGTCCATGCCTGTATTCAATTTTCCTTGGATGTCTTCCACACTTTCTTGATGAGTGCCATTATCTTTCAGATGTATGTAACTCGACAAAAAACCTTTCTACTTGTTGAAAAAGATTCGCTTGACTGCCCAAAGGGTCTTTCTGTTGGCCTTTTCCTTTGCCTGATCTTTACTCATATCCCCGCTGATGTATTTTTCATATTTTGCACTCCACATCTCATCGGTGGCTTCTAGGGACTCTTTCAACCAGTCTCGATATGCGGTGTTGTCTTCCAAATCAGAACTAGACTCATCTTCATCAGAATGATTCGTCATCTTCCACCTCCGTTGTGGATTCCGAATCATTCTCCTTAAGATCTTCGTCTTCATCATACGTAGATTCAGTTTCATAGTTTTCCATTTCCGGATCTTCAAATCTACGGCTTTTAAATTCAGGTTCAGAATTATCCACCTCAACTTCCTCTATGTTAGATTCATCTTCAGCATGTGCATTTTCGGTATGTCTCAAGAGGTTATATCTCCGTCCAAAGCGTTTGTCACACTGGTGACAAGCATAATGGGCCTATTGTTCTAACAGCCGTCTTAAACCTATAGGCCTACCATTCATCCAAAATATGACAAACAAATTCATATATATCCCTACACAATACATCCGGTAATCCTCTTACCTTTTAACTGACCGCAAAATCCCTCCTCATTCCCTCCTCACACCGCCCCCACAATCCCATAGAACGTGTACAAAAAAGGGGGCGGGGCATTACCTATACCGCCGTGCAGCACTACTCATGGCTCTTGAGGATTTTTTTTAAGGTAAGTTATAACTCCGAGAACCATTCCGTTACCAACTGACGCATGCGCATTATGGTCGTTGACTGTAATTGGTTGCCATGCAGGCCTATAGGGACTGGATTTGAGCACTCTGAACGTGACAATATATGTACGTTATTCACAACGTAACATTGCAATCCCATCATCAATCGGCCTAATTGCCACAAAAATCACATGCTTCACTGCAGATTAATTGCCCACGTTTTCACAGTGACGTATTTTATTAATCAGTACATCGTGAAAAGTTACCTTTCAACCGAGGATTCAAGGACTCTCGCAGCACGTTGTAACTCCACCATGCGCCAGTCTTGACTGTTGTACAGTCATTTTCGAGATCGTTCTCTATAGGCAACATTGGGCAATACTTACCCATTTCGAGGCAACATTTACCCATTTGAGATGCATTTGCATATGTTGTTGTATACTTTACAAGGTCCACTTGACTTAGTATCAAGGAAAATGTGCTTTCTTACGCTAACGTTATTTACAATTTGAACGTTTTTGGTCTCACAAGTTAAAAGGTCAAAATTTCCTTTTGAAGGTATATACTTACTTTCGTACCCAATACAAGTTTTCTCAGCAAGTTTTGACACTTCTTTTTTTAGAGTGTAACTTGTTCTGACGCCCAGCACCTTGAGGGTCTCCAACATTCAAGATGGGTTCCCCTTCGTTGAATCACCATACCACTACCGACTCCTCCTCTTTCATCCTGCCCCGTCTGCAAGGCGTCGGCAAGGTGGCCAGCTTGGCTTTCAATGAGAAGATAAAGCAACTGATGGCCCAGGGGAAAACCATTTATCACTTTGGCTTCGGTGAATCTCCGTTCCCCGTACCGGAAGGGGCCCGTCGAGCTCTGGCGCAACACGCTGGGGAAAACTCCTACCTTCCTGTTGCAGGTACAGTAAGCAGAACTATCGCTCTGAAGGTTGTTTTTCTTACCACAAAGCAAAATCAGCTTAATCGGTTTAACAATATATACAGCTCATGGCTCCTAACAAGGGGTGTTGCAATAAGCGACAAAACCTGCTCAGGCAAAACGAACTATAACTCAATCTATGTGCCACACGCACTATTTTAAGAATGCACCAGATAAGAGAACTGAACAAAGTTAGTCTGAGCAAATCTGGGTTTTTTTCCCCAAACAAATATATGGATAGACCGTTGGAAATGTCCCATGTCTTACCTGTAATTTCACAGTCCTTTGTGAACCTGGTTTTGCTAAGCATTACTGCTTGTGCTGAGCTATTTTGTGACGAGCATATACATTTTGTGTTCATCGTGTGTGCATCCAATAGGTTTACTAGAACTGCGCGCCCAAATCTGTGAATTCCACGCTCAGCTGGATGGTCTGATGCATCTGGATCCAAATTTAGTCGTTGTTGCACCGGGAAGCAAACAGCTGATTTACCTGCTATTTTATGTCTTCAATGGTGGTGAGAATAATACGGCACTTCATGATTTTATATGTAAAATATATACAAATGTACATAAAATATGTTGCTGTTGGTGATGCTTTATCTTAGGTGTTGGCTTAAGTGTTGGTGGTGTTGGCGCTGGTTTTGGTTTTGGTGTTGGTTTTATATTTGATGATGGTTTTGGAGTATTTGGTTTTGGTGTTGGATTCGGTGTTGTTTCTGGTTTTGGGTGTTGCCAGTGTTGGTTGTTGATTTAGTGATGGTTCTGGTCGCTTTGGTGTTGCTGGTGTTGGTACTGGTTTTGTTTTAGTGTTGGTGCTGGTTGAGTGTCGTTGACAGGGTTGGTTTTGGTTTTGCTGTTGGCTTTAGTGTTGGTTTTGGTGCTGGTTTTGGTGTTGGTTTTAGTGTTAATGCTGATTTTAGTGTTGTTTTTGGTCTTGGTGCTGGTATTTGGTGTTGCCGGTGTTTGGTGCTGGGTGTTTTGGTATTGGTTTTAGTGTTGGTGCTGGATTTGGTGTTGGTGCTGGTTTTGGTGTTGCCGGTGTTGGCTTTGGTGTTTGCTGCTGGTTTTGGTTTTGGTTTTAGTGTTAATGCTGCTTTTGGTGTTGTTTTTGGTCTTGGTGCTGGTAGTGGTATTGTGTTAATGCTGGTTTTGGCATTGCTGTTGGTTTTGGGTTTGGTGTGATGGTATTGGGTTTGTCAAAGATGTTGTTTGTGTTAATTAGGTGCTGGTTTTGGTTTTAGTTTTGGGGTTTTGGTTTGTGTGTTGGTTTGGTCTCCGGAAGGATTAACTTTTCTTGCACATTTTTATCATGTGATTGTGTCTATTTTGATGCACTTTTCGACTCTGTAACAATGAGACAATAGTATTGTATAATACCTCCTTACTATATTTTTGTTGTACATGTACATAGACTTGCTGATGTTGACACCCAGTTGGAGCACCTACAAGCCAATGATATTTCTGGCCGGCAAACGGGTCTTCACAATGGACTCCAGCATGCAGGATGGCTGGAAACTCACTCCGAAAATCTTGGAAAAGGTAAACGATCCTCCTTTCAGACTATAACGTTCCAGAGTCGCCGCCGAACTAAATTCTTCCCAAGTTTTGAATTATGCTTGACATTGGAAACAATTGGGAGCGACCACACATGTAAGATCAACTGTTGAAGTAATTCGGAAAGACGTATTCTCCACAAACAAGTCTATTTGGATCGACCCAAAACATTCAGCTGATATACTTTTCAGTTCGGCGCAACTCAGGAACGCCAGTCTGTTTTGGGTGTGAATTCATCCTTTTCAAATGCCACTCTTTCCCACAACCCACATTTGTTGCCTATTGGGAATTTTGTGAACTGAACAACTTGTCAGTGATCTGTGAACATCTGGTTTTCCCATAATAGAACATATTACTATGCCAACGAGCAGTAACAGGCAAATCATTTTATTGAAGGTCTATTGACATAGGCACTATACATGTTAAAGTCAACAGAGACATGATCGTATTCCCGAAGGAACATTCAAGTGGTATAGTTTTCTGATGTTTCCAGATACTTGAACGGTAATAAGAAAAACACTAGTTTTCTCTCTTTTCAAATATTTGTTTTTGGGTGTGGTTTAGTTTTTACAAGGGCAAGGCTTTTTCCAGAATAATAATGCGTAAATGAATGAATGTGTTAATTTTTAGATAAATAACTTTCTTTATATATTTTGAACAATGATGATTGCCTAGTTACTTTTTTTTTTAACTCAAATTCACATTTTTGTGTTGCCCATTCCACATTCCGATCCTAGGCAATTTTGGCAAGTAACACATCCACAAATCGTCTGTTGATTTTCTGCAATCCAGATAATCCAAGTAAGTAAAAAATCAATGTCCACTTCATAGTAAAATGGAGACATTCTACTGCCTCTTGTTTATTATCAGTATTGTATAAACTGAATGATTAACATCTCCTATAACCTCGTATAATATTCATCTGTGTTCAGAACATCACACTGTCAATATCGTGATTCATGGCATCGGAACATAGGTTAAAATAGTAACTGAAAATGTTTTGTCTAACAAACATTACAGATCGATAAAATGGGCCTAATTCTTGAAAGATAATTTTAATAGGGAACAACTCAAAAAGTAAATAACCTGAGTGCGTTGTGTACATATAGATCTATACTATTACAACAACGAAATGTGTAAATTTGTTTGGCTTCTTTCTCCCATTGATCAGCTGGCATCAGCTACACTGAAGCTGATCTGAAGGCATTGAGGTAAACATTCACTTTTTGGTTTTTTTTAATTTTCCTATCAGTTATCAGTTTTACAATCGAAAGACATTTGAAATTGAGATATACAATACATTCATTTATATCGTCCGTGTAAGACGCTGGGATTGCCCACAGGAGGAGCAATATATCCTTTGTCATATTTCATTTGGCCAGCTTGTGACTTGACTTGCGAAGGAGTTTTGAGGGATCTACTACCCACAAAGAACCTATAACAGTCGAAAACCAATTAATAAAGGTACACTGCATGTGAGTTTTGGAATATTTTCAAATTACCTCTTAAGTCAGATAACCAATCTACCATACAAACTTTATTTCATTCAAATCGATGCTTTGGCACAAACGCTTTTATACATGTACTTCATCGAACTCAAGGGTTAAAAAATCGTCTTGGGCCACTTTCCTTGAAAGTGAGAAAGCGCAGTTAGAGAAACACACAAAGGATGGGTCAAAAGTGTTAGTGCAGCTTATCAGTTTATCATTTGGAAAAAGGGTGTGTTTTTTTGGAAGACCAGGAGATATAGATACAAAAAGTGGCTCAAGTTGTTTTCAAGTCCCGTATTGGGATTGATGTATCTTTTGAACAAAACATTCTAATGAAACCAACTAAAAAGCATTTGGAAGACTAATTATTCTACTCAGCAATACATAAGACACGATTTTGAATACTACCCCCACTTTTCTGAAAACATCATGCCCGATTCGACTGTTAGGTCTTTTTTGTGGGACAACCTGTAAAACAGTGTTTGAAGCCTTCCTGTTTTCTCTCACAGTGTAGTTCTTCGCAAGCACAACGTGATTGTTTTGAGTGATGAGATCTACGGACACTCACAGTATGAGGGAGACTTTCTGAGTCTGGCAAAGGTGATTAATACAAGTGTACTCTGACCCCATCAGTGGGCAAATTAATGCATGTAGATGGATGCATTATCAACAACTATTCCACTAAAAAATGAAGTTTGAAGAACGCAAACTGTTTCCTGGGACCGCCAACCCTGCCAGACCATTTAAAGTCCACCACAACTTTATATGAAGGTGGCAGAATTTAGGTAATGAATTTTTGTGCATGTTTTCAAGCGGAAGTATCGCTCTTTTTCAAATTTGTTTTATTTTTTTATGTTGTCTTAAAGTATTACCCAGAAGGCACCATTATATCCAGCGGCCTGTCCAAGTGTTTCAGTGCGGGAGGTTGGCGGGTGAGTCTCTGCAAGGGCGGATCCAGGGTGCCAAAGGGGGCCATGCCCTCCCCCCCCCCCTAAAAAAAAACACCCCGAAACCCTTTTTTATTTCGTTTCTATGTGACGTCACAATAAAGGCAGGCAATGAGTAAACCACCATCTTTTCCTAAAAAAAAACATAGATTAAAGTGGTCAGAAATTACCTAAGATCGCACCACAGAGCATCTAGAATCCAATTTGTTTTTGGGTAGGCCTATCCACTAACTAATTACTCAGTTGCAAGTAACCTGTTACCATGTACTGATATAAACAAAAAGTTTCATGACAATTACATATAAGAAACTCGATGAAAACATATTGTGAAAGAGTGCAACTCTGAGGGATGTATAACATAATGTTAAGGGTACACACGCGGTGTGTGCCATGTGAAATAAAAGCCCTTTTGCTTATGAGTTATCACATATTTGTCGAGCACGTAAATTTGCGAAGCTAATTTTGGCACATTGGGCAATGCTGTTACATTAGTTTATATAGAATAGCCGCTTGCAAGCGTCTTTGACATGCGTATAGATTCCGTGATTAGTTGTGCCAAACAAGCCTGCATCTTGAGCTCCAGATTCTGACCATTCAGCGGGCGCCTATCTAGCGGGTTGTCCGTAAGCATATTGTTGTAGTACAAAAACATGGCAGCCAATTGACCAATCAACAGCTAGCTTAGGTCGAATTTCTGCTCGAAATAACGTCACAATTTCTAAAATCGACTCCGCATGGCTGGCGCGCGGGGTCGCATAACATTTGCATGCTCGCATGATTATATATATCAGACGATACGGAGCTTGCGCTGGCTCCGTTGAACTACCGTGACACTCAGACAACTTCGACATTCTCTGTCTGTGTTGTTGTTCGGCAGTGTGGCTATAGTATTTACCCCAAGGAGTTGGGTGCACTCTACCAGACAGTCTGCGGTGCATCCAGTCAAACCTACTCCTGTACTGCTGCTCCAATGCAATATGCTGCTATCCATGTAAGTTTAGTGCTCATACTTTGGGTCACGGGTGGTGGAACATATCTGTATTGAGGTATTATATGAGGTACCCGCTGCTATGTACATCAGATTCGAACCGGCCAACCGATCCCGTTAGCTCGGTGGTCGAGTGGTAAGACATCTGCACTAGAAAGCAGGAGGTCGTGGGTTCGAGTCCCACCCGAGTGATTTTTTCCAACTTTCACTCGGGAGGTAACACACTGAGTATACAGTGTTTAAAAAAGAAGTCGGTGAAGGGCAAAACCTAATTTGATTTGTATTGAGGTAGTTTTCGTGAGCAATTTAACTCATTAAAGCCTGTTACAACTTCTGATAATGTAATCCATGTAACCAACGGATAACGTATCACCAACCGATAATGTAACAACAGTTGACCGATACTGTATCACTATAACCGATAATGTAACATAAACTTGACTGATAGTGTAGTACATTCTACTACATTATGGTTAATTTTTGTTACGTAATAGGTTAGTGATACAGTATCGGTCAATTGTTTGTTACATTATCGGTTGGTGATACGTTATCCGTTGGTTATTACATTATCAGTTGTAACGAAGCCACACGTTAAGTTGAAGTTACACGTAACGTGACATACTGTACACCCTTCTTACCATTTGCGCCACTGTCTTACTATCGGTAGTAAACAATATACGAAAGTTTCTTCCCTAGGCAGGGTTGTTGCAGTCCAATCCACCCTTGTAATCCACCCTTTGTGTATAATATACACAAAGGGTGGACTGGACATTATGTAGAGCATGGTGATGATCAAACACCATAGCTGACCACTATATGACACATCCGAGGCGTTCCACATCTTGCAATAAAAACCTAAATACAGGGCGAGTAAAAAAAAAGAAACCCAAATGTCGGGACTATTGTTTTAGTGAAGTTTCAAAATCTAGGATATGAAAGCCAAATTCATAGGCTTTCTTTTAGGACAGGAATCATTCCAATCACTCATGACATGTATTTTTCAAGTTACGGAATTGTAAACACAACCACCGTTTTTAAGTTCTGTCCACGGATCACAAAAAAGGTGTGCGTTCTTTCAGCAAAACGAAAACAATTCACACATGTGATTTGGTTTCGTTTTGCTGAAGGAACACTTACCTTTTTGTGATCCTTGGACAGAACTTTGAAACGTTTTTTTTTTACCCACCCCGTATTTGAATTTGTATAAAAAAAACATCGGGATAGTAGCCAGAGTAGTTTGTGTTTAATTTCTAATTTCCTTCGACTTTACCTCATGATTACGTTCGTCAGCTTTTGAAACTGGATGAAGAGACGAAGGAATACCTCAAAGGCTGCCGATGCATTATGGGAGCTGTGGCTAAGTTCTGTCACCGGTGAGGATCATTTTTAAGAGACTGCGTGAAACTGAAATTGGAATCATCGGAATGAAAGTTTGAAGGCCACATGTTGATTAAAATTGTGTGAAAAGCGAGTTAGAAAATAGTTTTCTTTTCACAGACCATTTTATTGAAACTTGTTCCCTTCTTTTGCTTTCTTGCAGACACATTGATTTGAGTGATTTTTTTTTAATAAAACGGAACCAATTAAAAAGGTATAATTTAGGTTGAAAGAGGTTTGAAAATTACATTGTATGTTATCAGAAATGGGGACTAGAAAAACAGAATGTAAAATGACAGTTTTTCTTGCGTGTTCCTACTCTTCCTATGTTTTACTGCAGACACTTTTCTGTCTTTGAAATGACCAAGTTGGATTGGGGTATGTGTGCAGACTTTACAGGAAACACCAATTTGATTCTGGTTATGCAGGGAATTGACAGGTTGTGGCATCAAGGCAATTATGCCTGTGGCCGGCTACTACATTTTCCCAGACTTTGAGGTCTTGCGTGCCGTCTTGGAGGCCAGAGGCATACAGACCTGTGAACAAATGTGCGAGGCACTCTTCAAAGAAGGAAACGTGGCCGTGAGTTTCTCTCCATTCCTTTGAAATGTTTTAAGTTTTCACGCTCCTTTTACTAATTTTCATTCTGTGGGAAACACAATTTAGAGCCAAAATGGACCAATATTCTGCTCAAAAGTGCAGCTGCTTCATTAAATTGAGTTGGGTAGAAAGGGATCTTGGCTATAGGCAGAGCTGGGCTGACTTGACTAGGCTGGTACGGGCTAGGCTTTGATGGGCTATAGGATTGATTGGGTTTGACTCGTTCAGACTGGGCTGGCCTGAGTGAACAAGGGCGGATCCGGGGGGGGGGGCCAAAGGAGGCCATGCCCCCCCCCCAAAAAAAAAACGAAACCAATTTTTTTTTTTTTATATGTGACATCGCAATAAAGGCAGGCAATGAGTACACCACCATCTTTTCCTCAAAAAAACATTGGTTAAAGTGGTCAGAAATTGCCTCAGATCGCACCACAGAGCATCTAGAATCCAAAAAAATTTCGGGGCCCTTAAGCGGGCCCCGAACCCCACGCCGTAATTTTGTTGACCTGCTTTTTGGGGGGAACACAAATTTTTTTGGCCCCCCAAAAATTGTGTTCTGGATCCGCCCTTGTGAGTGAAGGGGGGGGGGTAGATGCTGGGTTGGACTAGGCTGGGCTGGCCTGATGAGGTGGCTTGGGCCGGCCTGAGACTTTGCTGGGCTTGATTGAGCTGGGCTAGACTGACCTGGGCTGATTAGGGCCTAGAAGAGTTGAGCTCCTTGACTTGGCTGGGCTAGGTTGCACTGGTGTTTTAGGGCTGGGTATTGTAAGTGGCCTAGCGGACCGGGTTGGCATGGCATGCCTGGGCCGGGCATAACATGGCTGGGCTGGGCTGGCCTGGGTGGCTGGCCTGGGCAGGGTTGGTCTAGGGCAGGATTTGATTGGGTCTTTGTTTGGCTGGGCTAGACTGGCCTGGAAGTTATTACAGGATTGAGCTGTTATATTGTCTGGACTTGGATGGGTTGGGCTGGGCTAAGCTGATAGGGCTGGACTGGTTGGGATCGGCAGGGCAAGGCAGAGGCAGGGCTGGGCGGGATTGTCTTGGCTGCACTGGAATGGGACGGGCTGAGCTAGCCTGGTTGGGCTGGTGGAGCTTTGCTGGGTTTAGTTGGGCTATGCTTATTCTGGCTTGGGGCGGGCATGGCTATTGTCCTGTCATGTTGCAACAGACTTATTACATCTATTAACCTAAGTATTGTTTCTCACTCAAAGCATGACCCTACGTTATATTTGAATTCCATTCTCTTTGTTTATTTGGACTGACTCTACCATCTGCTTTCCAGTTGATGGCCGGAGGCCCAGCTTTCATGCGACCTTTGACAGAGTTCACCGTGCGTCTGTGCTTTGTGAATTTTGATGGCGGGGCAGCGCTGGAAGGCTGGAAGCTCCAGGGTTGCAAGGAAAAACTGGATCAGGATTTCCTGGATAAGTACTGCAGTCCAGTGGTCCAAGGGATTAAGGTAATAAACTTGTTCTAAACTCTGTGGGGAAAATGCCAACATCCATTAACATATGAAACGTACAAGAAGCACAACTTCAAGCCAAACAGGCGTATGAATGAAGTGTTAATTAAAGTCAATGCATATATAGTCATAGTCAATCAGTCATTTTATCTGTCTTTTCAACAGGCTATTGTATCCTGGGTAGAAAAGCAACTGGCGTAGCTGTAGTCACTCCAGTGGCTTATTGCCTGATGTCTGCAGGTGTTTACAGGAAATCGAAGGTTATCTTGTGGACTTTTACATTGCAGCATTTTGCACTCGGTGCACGGGTATCTTTCCAATTTCAATGCTTTCACTCAAGGTACAGCTCTGTTGTTCTCACATTTACAATACATGTGCATGCATAACCTTGCGCAATAGATTTTCTCTTAATCTAAATCAACGTTAAATACAATTATCCATATACAGGTACAATCAATATTGCTTTGTAATTTTAATTTGTGTACTATACATATATTCTTACTTTTATTTTGTTAATGATTGAAGTGCACTAAATTATAATGTCCTACTTTTTCTACACCCATTAACATGAAAGACAAACACGAATTGAATTATAAGTATACATAACACGTGATATAAAATGTACCAAAAAATACGAAATGCACAGGCAATTCTTAAATTAATTAAAACAAATTTCCAAGTAATGTATGCAATGTATTGTATTTTAAATTGTATTCTGAGACTTATTGAAATTACAAGAAATTGTAATTTGTCAGCTTTTCATGATAAATTGTAATTATTGAACTTAGTTCAACTCAATTTGTAACACTCATGACTTGTTTAACAGCACCCATTGCTTTAACGATGTATAATTGTTTATGATTTAACAAAAAAAGTAATGTGATTTTTACACAAAATGATAAGATTTTAATTAAACATCCTTTCATTAAAATTGAATGATAGTGTCAATTTATACACACTTGAGCTACATTGCACACTTGTCTTTTATTACTACACAAACATTATTTTCAGCTTGCTTGTCAAAAAAATGGCATTGGCCGAAATAAATCTGTGGAAATCTGGCAACTCACGAAAAACAGATTTTCCAAATACTTGAAATCTTAGCAGATACAGAAATAACAAAAACCAACAAAAATGTTTCTTGTTTTATCGAAAGTAAATATTTTTAATTTACCGGCCCAATTAATGACTTATTTCAGAAGATTGTGATCAAACAATGACTTTAATCAATATGGAACGTTGGTAACACCGTCCAGTTTTCAGGCCGATGTGTTTTGACCTTGACTTTTGTTATAACACAGCACAATAATTAAACACACCAAATGACTTTAAGCCTCGTATCATTTTGGGTCGACTTCTTGGGACTGTATGCAACAGATGTATATGCAAGAGCCAATCTCAATAAAATTTGGAATGTAGGTTGGCCATTTATCTACAATATGAAATAATTTTTGGTTGCAACGCGGTGACCACAAGAAGGCGCTTACTGCATGTTTGTCCATTTTTGGTAAAAACAGTACTTGGGGCATAATTTCAATCAATTACCTTACAGTACATCCAGCGTCACCGCTAGAGGGCGCTACACCCACCCTTTTGAGGCGAAATCGTTCGGGCCGTTGGAAGGACTGCACCCCAACCTTGTCCCCAGGGTGTCGAACAGTACGCGCCCATCACTACCTGCTCTCTCACCCTGGTATTGGATCATTTGCATGTGCAAGATTTTTGCACACGTATGCAAATGAGGAATAGTGTGGTGCCTTGGATATGCTTTACATTAGCGTTTGTTTTTGTATGCGGTGTCTGGGGTAAAAACAGAGTCAATTCGTCGCAGCACGAGCACGGCGTGAGTTACGAAAACACGATTTTTAAAAATTAAACTGTTACGATCTTATCGAGACAACAAGCAGTATCACATTTCATATTAATATGAACAAGCTGGAAAGGAAATTAGTATTTTCGAGAAGGCGTGGACGAATGATCGCGAAAACACGTACTGCACGTTGTGAATAATAACACCAAGTACACGATAAAAATCCATTACTGGCCAATTGCGGTATCGAATCAGGATACAGGAAGAAAGTTTCCTATCCAGGGTTTACTATTGGAAACGAGGTTGGAAATAAAGTAAGCACTGGGGACGAGGTTGGACTGCACCCACGATCTGCTTAAGCCAGCCCAACTAAATCTAGAACCCATCGGCTGTATATAGGTAGGTACATCTTCGCATCGTTATACATTCCCGTTCTCACGCAACTATGAAAACAAACATGCACAAACAACTTGAAGGAAACCTTTTTGAGCCCCGGCGTGAATGGGAGCAATAACGAATGTCACGTGATGTGAGTTCTACCAATCAAACGACAAGGATCTGTATGCCGGTTATTTAAATCCAAATGAATGTTTACGAATAAGCTCATAATCATCAGCCATAATGGCCGCTTTCTCTATACGAAATTCCAGCGCTTTTAACCCTAAAGGGGCCGGGTTATTTTGACCATCTCTCAGCCGGGGGGGGGGGGGGCGGATTCCGCCCCCCCCCCTAAGATCTCGGCCATCGAGTGACGAAACATTTTGAAACTCAGCACATGCATAGAGCAACTCTTCCTAAACATGCCCAAGAAATTTCATGACTATAGGTCAAAGGATTTTGGAATTATGGTTAATTAATTATTCATATGTATGAATGGCAATTCTGCTCGGTGTACACGACGTATATGCGAAAATTCAGTTTTCACGGCGCGTAGCGCCGGAAAATTTTTCGCTACGTGCTAACCCGTGGTCCGATTTTTATGTTTTTGGTATCAAAAGATGCGCAAAGCTCGAGGCTAAAAAGTCATAACAGCTCGGGTCGCGAAAAAATTTTTTTTAGAAGCTATCGCGGAAAATGTTGAGGGGGGGGGCGGATTCCGCCCCCCCCCCGGCCCCTTTAGGGTTAAGTCCGGCAGGAAATTCCAATGTCCATTCCACTGGTCAGCAATGTGGTTGGACTTCAGCGCAAATTCCCAGTGCGGGACCAAAAGTTCGTTGCAACAAAATAATGGGGGACTACGTAGGACGATCGCGGGCTATTGCCCTAATTACTTCAAGTGAATTTGCTTAAACTCAAACTTTAAATTATTTACGAATTCAACAAAAGTGCTATATTTAAAATGCCTTGTATTATTGAAAGACATGTTTAATAACAGTTTATTAGACAAACACAGACTCAAAGCCAAAAATTAATGGGGGGGGGGGGTACACCCATGTTACGTTCCCTGAGACGCATCTACCATTTTGCACATAATTTTGCACCCAATTCCAATATCAAACATAATTTTAAACAGTTTGAATTTTTAACAAATGCAATCATCGTTAGTTTACATTTTTAATTTTTATAATTCTTTTTTTAAAGACCATGCTTGATTTGAGTTATATTTAATTATCTAATTGAAAACCAATTTATCAAACATATGTTTTGAGAGCATGTTGTATTGATTCGAGTTATATTTTATTCTGAAAAAATTAAACACCAAGTCATCTACATATGTTTTTTAGAACATGCTGTCTTGATTTGAGTTATATTTAATTCTAAAATAATTGAAAACAAAGTCATCAAATGTATTTTTTTAATAGTACGAATAGTACAAACGTCACCCTGGGTGTGCAGTTTTGGCCCTGCTTAAAATATATGCATTCAAAGTGCATTAAAAGTACAATCTTAATTAGCGGTAAATAAAGCCGTTCTTACGTAAGTTTTGCACGAGATTTTTTATTCGTAAGTTGAAATTATGATGCAAACGCTGACTCATATACTACCGTTTGGTGTTGGAATGATTGTTGTGCTCAACATTCCAATTAAACACATAAATAATTAATTCCTTAGCGGGCGGCTTATTATTGAACTCAACTCATTCTTAAGCACAAACAAGGCCCTCTTCTTTGGAATCAGCTTACCCATATACCCTTCTTTCGGACTGTGCATCAATTCAAAAGATATCTAAAAAACCTACTTATTTCCGGTATTATACAAGACGTGCACCCATAATTCGCATTTGTATAAGTCACACTCCATCATAATCAAATGTTATATTGTAAATTAGTACATGTATATTTCAATTTCCTTCAGTTTTTCTACTATTATGCCAAGTAAATAATTAATTAATTAATTTATTGACCACTTTTTTAAATTATAGCTATAATTGTTGTTTATTTCATAAGTTATTCACAAACGGGACCAGGCTCTGTATAAGCTTAGGCTTTTTCCCTGGTTCCCCCATCTGTCACCATATGTTTAATTGATCAAAGTGCTGTACATGTATTAGCATTCTATTAAGTTTAGTTATTGTTGTAGTAAATAATCTGTTGCATTTGCATTATATTAATTTGTGACAAATGGAAAATAAAACAATACAATACAATGCAATACAATACGCAGTGGGGCTGTGAAGGTCGCCGGGTCAATGCACCGTTGTGTGTGACCGCAGAGCATGCAGGGCTTTGATTTTCTGCACATCGGTGGCAAAGTTCACCATATGGTTATTGGTCATTGATAAGTTAATCGAATACTATCTTTTCGCGTTGGAACCGTGCTTGTGCGCGATATTCTAATTAAAGGTCAACTTTGGGGGGGGGGTCTTTAGGCGGTGCCCCCTCCCAAACGCACGGGGTGTGACACTTAAGAATGCGGTTTGTTCCTTGCTCTATGGTTGAACACCCCCACACACTCGCTGCCACCATCAAACCTTGTGTGCGCGATATTGTAATTAAACATCACTGGGCTCTTGGACTAAAACTCAATGTATGCGGTTCGGTGTACATACAAACACATGTACATACAGGGTGAGTAAAATAAAACCGTAACCCAAATGGCAGGACAAATTTTTGAATGAAGCTTTTACTTTCAAAATCTTGGATATGAAATCCCAGTCATTAAGCTTTATTTTAGTACAAGAATCATTCAAATCAATCGATGTACTTTTCAAGTCACGGAATTTTGAACACAGCGATGCATGTGACTCGGAATTGTTTTCGTTTTGCTGAGAGTACACTTACCTTTTTTGTGTTCCGTGGGCAGAACGTTAAAACGGTGTTTGTGTTCAAAATTCCGTAACTTAAAAAGTACAGAGTGATTTGAATGATTCTTGTACTAAAAGAAGGCTCATTATGGCTTTCATATCATATCCTTTTTTTTACTCACCGCGTAGTACACCCACACACACAGTAAACACGCTGTATACCTTATATAAGTAACCCATCAACCGTGTTTCTGCATATTGTTTACGATACATACGTAGAGCTCATCAGACGTCACGCTCCTTGTCACAAAAGCGGCATTGACTCGCGCAAACAAAGGCTACCAAAAGTGAATTATTTTGCATAAAACCGTGTGTAACAATAAGGATATTGTAGCATGTTCCTGTTTTATTAGACACAGCTTCACTCCATATGACTTCATATTGAAAATTTGAAAATCGTTGAAGTTGGTCTTTAAAAGGTGACCAGTCCTAGCTGTTCCATACATCTTCAAGATTGAATGCAGTACATTGCACCACCTATAGGCACACGCGCATCATGGGCGGGTCTACACGTTCACACCCATGGCGATGGATGATCCTACTGTCTCGTTTCGTCTGGTCACTCACCTGTGTTGGTAATTTGAAAGCGTTGGGGGTCTTCATACCTCAGTTTGTCCAGCACTTCTCTACTACCACAGCTGCCGCTGGTCTCGCCTGCAGTGCCTCCGTGGGATTTGGTATGATCATAGCCGGTGAGCAGTAACTCTTTCAAATCAATCTTTTTAAGTCTGTCACAATGGTAAAACGAAGAATTGTTTTAACCAAAACTATGGCCACACACCCATTGAGTGTGATCTACCAGAAATGTATTCCTTCCCGAAAGATTCCTCCACAAAAATGCCGCTAACGACTAGTACCGTGTGGTACCGGTTGTGTACTCGCATACATTTGAGAGAAAACAAAAAGTGTCATAGGCAGGAGAGAGGTTGCTGGTCCGTTTGCCCATCCCGCAATCAGCTTAAAACACGACACGAACCAAAATTCGATTGTAGTTGAGTTGAGCTCTATAACTGCGTGTATAAAGGTGTCTGAGACTGAGCGAGCTGGATAAACGGGATGATTTTTAGAGTTGTTTTCTCTTGCAACAGGACCTTTCGTAGGTGCTTTGGTCAAGTCATGTGACCCACGCAAGCTGACCATGGCTGGAGGAATGCTGTCTGCATTGGCTACCATGGCTGCCGCATCTTCGTCATCGGTGACGCAGTTGGCAGTGTGGTTCGCGCTATCGAGTACGTACTTGAAACCTCGTATAATGAGCAAGTCACAAGTCGGTCACGAGTCTCGTCACGAGTCTCGTCACGAGTCTCGTCACGAGTCTCGTCACGAGTCTCGTCACGAGTCTCGTCAAGAGTCTCGTCACGAGTCTCGTCACAAGTCTCGTCACGAGTCTCGTCACGAGTCTCGTCACGAGTCACGTCACAAGTGACGTCACAAGTGATAGGGATGGATAAGGAATGCCTTTGTTACATTTCATCTGAACAACTTGTGATTGGTCCATAATTACGACGACCTATGGTAACTGTTAATCCCGAGTACTTTAACTTTAACTAACCTTGTCAACTCTTATAAGGTGCTACATAATGGGTCTCACATTTCTCATACTTTATTTACCTTTCTTTAATAATAGACATAATAACCAGCGCCTTGAATACCTAATTGTTGGTAGATACGTGCGCTATATAAGACTCCGTTATTAATAAAATTCCATTCTATTTAATCGGTTATTGCTATAGCTCGGTTATCACCTAAGAGTTATTATTATTTTTTTATGAAAGCTGCGTCACCCAGTAACTGAACTCTCCAGTACAACAACTCAGATATCGTTTAAAGTTCGGTCTATTTGATTTTTCTTTTAAGGTATTGGTCTGGTTTTTATCCAAGTTGCTTCCATGAAACCGTTTGTGGATTATTTCCCGGAGAACTTCGCTTTTGCCAACGGCTTTTCTCTAGCTGGAGGTACGATCGGCATGATGGTATTGCCACCCGTTACGGAGTACCTTGTCTCAGTGTACGGATGGAGGAGTGCACTAGCATTCATGGGGGCCTTCAGCCTTCACTACGTCGTGTCCGGAGCGCTTCTTAGACCTTTACCAGGTGGTGCAGGACGGTACAAGCAGGTGCCAAATGATGGAGATCCTGTCGAAACGCCAAAGCCACATAATCTAGGTAAATTCAAAGGCGGAGCGAGAAGTTTAAGTTTTCAAGACTTCAGGGAGAGTTTAAGGGATCAATTCGACGCCCATTTACTGACGGAACCCTTATTTATTGTCTATCAATTGGTGGCAGTGCTGTGCGGTGGGATCTTCACCATGTGGCATCTGTTTCTAATTCCGCAAGGCATAGAGCTCGGATATGGAGACTCTAAAGCGGCATTCCTGGCCACGTTCGCAGGTCTGGGCTTACTAGCTGGCCGCCTCGGCCACGGCACCTTGGTGGATCGTGGTCTCGTCAAGGCGTGGGCCCTCTTCGTCGCCACCTCGCTAGTTTTTGCGGCATCATGTCTGGCCGATCCTTTGATCGTCTCACCGTACGCTGCTCTGGCGGCTACCTGCGTCGTCTCAGGGATCGCTGTGGGCGTGTTCTACCCCCTGACCTACGTGATTGTGCGTGAGATTACTGGAGATCAGCACATGTCAGCATACGGGTGGCTCTTCACTTCAATCGGTGCGGGTGAAATGCTAGGAGGAGTCATTTTAGGTGGGTATTTTTTTTAAAAATACGGTTGTTGACGCCTAAATTTCCTCTTAATATTGTGCAAACCCAATTCAAAAACGAAACCGACCCGGCCAGTCCCAAAAGCGACTTCGGTCCGGTTCGGTTAAGCAAAAGTTTGAGAAACTCAAATTAAACTCAAGGGGAAAAAACAACAATAAACACCGTGACAAGGTTTTAGGGGCCAGGCACAGTCATTCTAGAGTTAAAAAAAAATCCTGAAGTGTCCAAGTTGCATACCGGTACTACATAATGCAGGGTTTTGGCTTTCCTGAATAGCCATATTAAAGGTGATATTCTAAAGTCCCATGTATACAGAACTACAAGTCCAATCGGGTTAAAACAACCTTGGTTTTATCAATGTTATATAGATGAAAAATGAAGTGACGTCGTTGTGACGTCATTATGAGATTTTTATGGAGTTTTGTATTTTTCAATATTTTCATCATGTCTCACGAACATACATGCTAAATGTGTTAAGTCATACTGATGTCATAAAAATAATTTTTTGTTCTAACGTGCCTTTCAATAATCAAAATTAGTGGTTGTTTTTGTGTGTGTGTTCACAGGATGGATTCACGATGTAAGTGGAAATTATGTGGTCGTTTTCATGGCAATTGGAGTGTTGGCTTTCACCATGGCAGCAATTTTAGTAATAACTCGATTGTTGGTATATTGCTGTGAAAGCGGTGACGAGCCACAAAGCTGAGCCACTGGAGACAATGGACAGTCATCATAAGCATTTAGAGAAAATTACTCCGAGGTTCGTTCAAGATCTCCATGGGCTATTTTCTCGTTTCATCCCGAAAATACATTTGTTTTGAAATTTGTTTTCTAGCAATACAAAAGTTTTTCACTTTTGAATGAGACATCGAACCAAAAATGTAACAAAATCTAGTTATGGAATATTTACTTTACACATTTCGAATTATTTGCGACCCGTCCATAATTTAGGGGTGTCATTTCGTGCGTTATAGACACCAAAGTAACCCTCAATTTAAGGGTATATGTATTTTCAGAGGGTTAAAACGTCAAAAATAAAAAGCAGCTCTTTTCCCCGTTATTATAAAAACATACAAGTTGAAAATGTGTTTGGAGAAAATAACGGAAAACATCGCAGAACTAGGCTAGTCAATAGACCTAAGACATAATGACGTCACGCTTTGTTTACATGTGCGCTATCCTATGGGAACCAGGTGGGGGCGCCAGCCAATCGTCCCCAGCTGGTTCCCATAGGAAAGCGCACATGGAAACAAAGCATGACGTCATTATGTCTTAGGCCTATTGATGTGTTTAAAGTGTGCTCTGTTAATGAAAAAGGTTATTTATTCGGCAAGAACACTGGATGGTGATACAAACATTTCAGTTTTGATGGAAATAATTAAAATTCATTTATTAATATTAACCCATTATTATTTTAACCTGTCCACTAAAACATAGACAGTTGTACTATAACACATATAGAATGTTGCTCCTGATTAAATATTGCGATCGTCAAGTGTTAACAAAATATATATCTATAAAATTAGGCCATGATCAATCTCAAAATCCTTCACTGCCAAAACCGGTAAAACATTAATGTCACATTAATTTAATAAGTTTATAGCCAGAAATAGCTACAGCCAATAAGTAATTTGAGTTGTTATACATGTATTAATCATGTTTAAAATAATTTGTTAAAAATACAAGTTTAATAATTTCAATATAGGTTAGGAATACGTTATCCAGCCAAAAAATTGCCACAATCTATTATTTCTATTAATAACAAGTTTCAGAATACTATTGAAAGTGCTATATACAATATTTTGCAGAAAAAGAAACGTTTCCTGATGAACGAATTTAACTTTTGAGTTATGCTTGTTGGTGTGCTTTCAATAAACAAAACTTTTTGTATTTTCGGGTTTTCTTTTGGTGCTTTTTAGTTTTACATCAAATCGAATAAACAGAAAAAAAATAACCAACAGTTTTCTAAAGAAACTACAATTTAGATGCGGTAGATAAAATAAATGAAGTTATCTGAAATCTTGGTATATCATATATACAATCCTATATACATGTAGTTCTGTAAACTACTGTAATCTATTCCAAGAAAAAGTGTTTGAGAAGCTGATTGGTTGAGAGCTCATTGACATCATAGGAGGCGTGGCCAAGTGATATTGGTCCAAAATGAACTTTCTTTAGCAAAGCAATTTTTGGCAGTGTGTCAACAATGTTATGAACAAATTAATTTGTACTTTTTTCAGAATGTCAGAAAAAATGAGTCTTCAGCTTCAATTAAAGGGGCACTAGGTCCTGAAATCCCCGAAAATTTCATGTTTTGGATTGTTTACTTATCCTATTTCAAACATGTGGTTGAAAAGAAACCAACCTAATGTCTTACCGTTCCCGAGAAAAGAGGAAAAATCCCAGGTTGTTTATATCGGACACGACTGAGTACGAATACGTTTTTTGTGTCGTGCTCATACAGTGTACGATATACACGTTGTGTGTCTCGGGAACAGCGGTGACTAATCACCAATGCAAAAAATGTGGTTTCTTCAACGTCCGCAAAAGGTGAACACTTTACGAATAAAATCACAACTAGCATCCAAACAGCTCAAATTTATGGGGTCGCAAAAGTGTACCCCGAAATTCGTTCTGGCACGCATAATACAGGAATAACACAAAAACGCCCAGTTTTGAAAGGATAGTTGTGTGGATGTTTATATCCTAGTTTTAAATGTTCTTTCCGAATAACATAATCTCGTTCAAAGAGCGTTTTGTAGCCCAATTGGGCTGTTCCAGGACCTAGTGTCCCTTTAAGACTGCTTAGAGTCTGGTTCGCTCATACCCCCCGCCCTGCAAACAGGACGCTGGGATACTCTGATGAATTCACGCTCTGATTGGTTGGACAGTGACCTGCGCGTCATCAAGGTCATGACTCTGCAAGGTTTGAAACGGCCGTTAAGTCTAATTCATTACTCTTTTATTCCAGTTTAGAGATGTTTTTGCTCGTTGAAAAGCGTAATAATGTAGGAAATTCTGTAAAACTTATCTGTCCCTTTAACTTGAATTAATTAATGGATATATAGAATAACAGGGACATTGTTAATCACTTCAACCGTAAAAAAACAACATTTGTAGCAACAAATTAAAACTTACAATAAAGTTGTTTATTGGATAATTTAAATTTATATGGATTATCATATTTAATCTTAATTTAGAGAGAAAGATAAATCTGTTGTACGAGGTAGTGCATGTAGTACATGGGAGGAAAACAGAGCAGTACGTCGAGGGTATGAAGAATATTTCTCAACTGCTGAACTTGAAAACAAATAGTCGCAGACCGAGTGCAAATACTGACGTGTAAAACTCCACAGCAAAGCTATGAAGTTCCTATATCGGCAACAACCTGCAGAAGCCATTGGAGTGACTAGAGCTCTGCCAGCTGCTTTTCTACCCAGGATACAATAGCCTGTTGAAAAGAAATAAAACGACTATATATATGTTCACATGTCATTTGTCAATCCAACACTTCATATGCCTGGTTGGCTTGAAGTTACCACTTTTTGACATGGCACTGAATGTTGCATGCATCAGGCCAGTCGTTTGTGACTAGTTATAAAAAGTAAACATCCGGGGGCGTGATAGAGACATATGTGACCCGCTCTGCAAAAATGAGTCTGATGTCGCATAATTTGAATTCAAGCTTTTGCCATTTTGAAATGGAAACAGTAAAAATTTGCTCAAAATTTGGATTTTTTTGTTTTTGTTTTATTTTGGTTGTTTGATAGTTTTAGTTCAAATATCTTACACAGAAATGTAAATATTGTAAGAAAAAGAAAAAAAAATATGAATCTTTGGTGCTTTTCTTGGTTAGTTACAGTGTATTTGTCATTTTTCAAAGCCTTTTTTCTCCATTGAGACACTTCTAGCTTTGCAAAAACTTTACAGAATGAAACAAGCACAACAATGCAACCAAATGTCCTAGAGAGGTCCGTGATATACAAAATGAAAGCTTATTTCATTCCCATTTTATTAATGTAGTTAACTCAAAATGTCAGTTTTGCCACAACAGACTCATTTTTGCGGAGCGGGTCACATATGTCCCTCTAATACTTGTTGCTGGCTCGACAACTTCAATCTCTTGTTCGTTGAACGCTCTTAGGTGCTACCATCTTTTTATATGTGTGTTTAATTGTAGAACAAGTGTATTACTATTACCTTAATCCCTTGGACCACTGGACTGCAGTACTTATCCAGGAAATCCTGATCCAGTTTTTCCTTGCAACCCTGGAGCTTCCAGCCTTCCAGCGCTGCCCCGCCGTCAAAATTCACAAAGCACAGACGCACGGTGAACTCTGTCAGAGGTCGCATGAAAGCTGGCCCTCCGGCCATCACCTGGAAAGCAGATGGGGAGAGTTGGTCCACAATCAAAAATAAACCAACAGAAAGGAATTCAAATCTAATGCAGGGTTACGTTACATACGGAACCATCAACCGAGTACTGCCCAGCCCAGCCGACACATTAAAGCCCACCTCAACCTAATCCAGCCCTGCTGATCCAACTTATTTTTAGCCCATCCATCCCACCGCATCCCAGTCACGCCCAGCCCATCACATCCATTCAGCCTAGCTCAACCCACAATGTAGTCAAGTCCAGCCCATTAAAGCCATTTAGCCCAGCCAAGCACAACTGACTCAAGCCCAGCACAGACAACCCAGTCCAGTCCATGCCATCAACCCACCTAGCCAAACTCAGCATAGTGAAGCCATAAAGTCCATCACACCCACCTCAACCCAGCCAAGCCCAGGCCATCCAACCCACCAAGCCCAGGTCATTAAACTCTAACCCTAACAATGCTAATGCGACCCATCAAGCCTAGCCCATCCAGCCCACCTCAACCCAGCCAAGCCCAGGCCATCCAACCCACCAAGCCCAGGTCATTAAACTCTAACCCTAACAATGCTGATGCGACCTATCAAGCCTAGCCCATCCAGCCCACCTCAACCTAGTCAAGCCCAGGCCATCCAACCCACCAAGCCCAGGTCATTAAACTCTAACCCTAACAATGCTAATGCGACCCATCAAGCCTAGCCCATCCAGCCCACCTCAACCCAGCCAAGCCCAGGCCATCCAACCCACCAAGCCCAGGTCATTAAACTCTAACCCTAACAATGCTAATGCGACCTATCAAGCCTAGCCCATCCAGCCCACCTCAACCCAGCCAAGCCCAGGCCATCCAACCCACCAAGCCCAGGTCATTAAACTCTAACCCTAACAATGCTAATGCGACCTATCAAGCCTAGCCCATCCAGCCCACCTCAACCCAGCCAAGCCCAGGCCATCCAACCCACCAAGCCCAGGTCATTAAACTCTAACCCTAACAATGCTAATGCGACCCATCAAGCCTAGCCCATCCAGCCCACCTCAACCCAGCCAAGCCCAGGCCATCCAACCCACCAAGCCCAGGTCATTAAACTCTAACCCTAACAATGCTAATGCGACCTATCAAGCCTAGCCCATCCAGCCCACCTCAACCCAGCCAAGCCCAGGCCATCCAACCCACCAAGCCCAGGTCATTAAACTCTAACCCTAACAATGCTGATGCGACCTATCAAGCCTAGCCCATCCAGCCCACCTCAACCTAGTCAAGCCCAGCCCATTAAAGCCATTTTAGCCCAGCCCAGGTCAACCCACTCAAGCCCAGCCCAGACAACCCATCCAGAGTAGCCTAGCTCATCAACCCACCGAGCTCAGCTTAGTATAATGAAGCCAAGTCCATCCAACCCACCAAGCCATCTCAGCCCAGTCGAGCACAGCCCATCCAACCCTCTCAACCCAGCCAAACCTAGCCAACCCACCAAGCCAAGGTCATTAAACCAATCCAGCCTAGATCAACCTAATCAAGCCCAGCCATCGCACACTGCCCACCTCAACCCCAGCCCAGACAACCCACCCACTCCAGTTCCACCCAGTCAAGCCCATCAACCCCATCCAGCTAAGCTCAGCCCATCGAAGCAGATGTTACTAACACCCCCCCCCCCCCCGAACAAAACATCAGCAAAGATTCAACAAGCATTTACTAATCCTAATGGCAAACAATGCAATTTTTCTTATCAACAAAAAACTTTTGAAGCATGAAAACTCAAAACAAATGAAGATTTCAAAGGAATGGAGAGAAACTCACCGCCACGTTTCCTTCTTTGAAGAGTGCCTCGCACATTTGTTCACAGGTCTGTATGCCTCTGGCCTCCAAGACGGCACGCAAGACCTCAAAGTCTGGGAAAATGTAGTAGCCGGCCACAGGCATAATTGCCTTGATGCCACAACCTGTCAATTCCCTGCATAACCAGAATCAAATTGGGGTTTCCTGTAAAGTCTGCACACATACCCCAATCCAACTCGGTCATTTCAAAGACAGAAAAGTGTCTGCAGTCAAACATAGGAAGAGTAGGAACACGCGCGAAAAACTGTCAATCGCAATTCTGTTTTTCTAGTTCCCATTTCTGTTCAAATAAAATGTAAAATGTTTCATTCAAATTATACCAGCTTTTTTCAATAGGTTCTGTTCAATTTGACTAAAACAAAATCATTCAAGGCAAAGTGGCTGCAATTAGCCAAAAAACGAACTTGTTGGATGCATAAGGACAATTGAAAGAAAATTATGTTCCTCTTTATCTAGTTTCTGACAAAATTTTAACAAAAAATTTGGACTTCAAACCTTCATTCCAATGATTGCTACTTCGCTGTTTTGAACACTTTGTTTTCAACTTCTTTTATTCTACATGTATAAGTTCACCCTAAAACAAACATATGTGCGAACAACTTTGTTGTTATCAAAAAATGGGCCAATGGAAAGTAAATCAAAATAACAAAATGTGGATTTCAATCAATCATTCTATTTCTTGGGCGCAGTCTCTTTTTAAAAAGGATTCTCACCGGTGACAGAACTTAGCCACAGCTCCCATAATGCATCGGCAGCCTTTGATGTATTCCTTCGTCTCTTCGTCCAGTTTGAATATCTGATGAAACATGATCATGTGGTCAAGTCAAAGGATTTAGAAATTAAACACAAACTATGCCGGCTGCTAAAATTCGAATATTTAAAAAAAAAAAAGTCACAATGTGGAACACTGCGAAAGGTTACCACCCTTTTTTTTTGGTAGCCAACCTGTGGTCGGCATTTTTTGTCAACTACGGGATAAAAAACTACGGAAGGCTAACATTGCGAAAATAAAGAATAATTTTTAATGAACCACATCAAGCTGCTTTGGGTACAAATTAATGGAGAACCAGTCATTCTGTGGCTCTAGGTTGGACCAAACTGAATTAACGAATTCAGTTTTTTTTTTTTTTCCATTAATGTTTGCAAATATATCATTGGATTATTTAAAATACAACCAAGAACAGAACACACACTACCCTAAGACTTAAAGGGAATGTAGACATGTTTGAAGTTTTGTGTTCGAAAATGCTGGAAAAACTAAGAAAAACAAAAATGTTCAAGTAGTCTGGTTCCTTGACTCCACTAAAGATAAAATGGATCAATTTACAGATGCCGGAAAATTGTAAGGTAAGGGAACCAGTCTAGCTGGCCTGCACCCGTTCACGAAGATGTAACCGATAGCAAACAAAACTTGGACTGAAAAAAATGTAAAGTTGAAGCAGTAGTTGAAAAATAGTTAGGGTTTTCCAACGGTGGTCGGCCGACCACCGTTGGAAATGTGTACAAAAATACCATTTTCTTGAAAATGACTTGACACCAGGTGCCATAATTTTACAGAATGCTTTAGACTGTCATTTACCTACATCCTATTAAGGTATTTCGCAAAAACTTGGTAGTTGTATTTTTCGATGTTTGCAAATGTTGTATATTCCCTTTAATTAAAATGCCACCTTCTTACAAAATCAGGGTGTTATGTAATGTGAAAATCTATTGCCAACCATGGCTTAAATGTAAATGAAATAGTGATGACTAACATTTGAAGCTTAAAGTGGGTTACTCTTGGTGACTGCGTTCTTCATACAATGGCGTTTCAAAACCATCACGGTCACGGTCTACATAGCAATCAATATCCTACACAGAATCCACTATTGTAAAGGAGTCAATTTCATTTCTAGTCCTAGTTATTGCCTTGTTATTTCTTAACCGCTGCAGGCTCTGGACTTTACAGAAAGTAATTGTTTACAAGCTAAAGCATGCAATCTTGATTGGGTATCTGATTGGTGCGATTCTCCCCCCCCCCCCCCCTCCACTATCCGGGCCCAATTTCAGAGCGCTGCTTATAGTTAGCTAAAAATTTGTTTCTTCTATAGCACAAAATCATGTGGAGCATAAGCACTGTTTCACGACCTGGACATGCTAACGGTTGCACGCTCATAGAGATTTCTATTCTTATGTCACTGATTTAAGCAACTTTGTTTTCTGTGGTTAAGCGTGCTTTTTTGCTGTGCTTACTGCTTACGGTATCTATGAAATAGATGGAGGCTCGGTAAGCACAAAATTGGCTGTTAAGCAGTGCTATGAAACTGGGCCCTGAACTTTATAAACTTACATGGATGGCTGCATACTGCACTGGGGCAGCAGCACATGAGTGGGTGTGACTGGATGCACTGCACACTGTCTGGTGAAGTGCAGTCAACTCCTTGGGGTAAATACTATACCCACACTATGGGAATGTAAACAGACAATAGAATACAATTTACCCATTACAAACTGTACGGTACTACAATAACAATAATAATGGCTTCTTGTATAGCACTCGTGTCCATCACAAAGTGACGCTCTTGACGCTCTTATTACCCTGGCTTTAGCACGGCTGCCATTACGGCGCTCAAGCATTGAAGGAATACCGGAGTTTAATGTAGCGCATGTATAGATATTCAAGGCACTGGTAGTTAGGCCAAAAAAAAAATAAGTCGGTCTCTGGTCAGCGCGCGCGTCGATTTTAATTATGCGCGTCGATCTTTTTTTTCTCCCAAAATGTTCCGCGGTAGCTCCAACAGCGCCCTCTATTTCCGCACCTCCTCATTTTTTTTTTACCAAAGAGCACCAAGGAATGGGAAATTACACCAAGGCAAATGATTGAAAGCACCAAGGCAAATTATGGAGGACACCAATGAACATGAGGACACCAAAAAAGCAAAATAGTACCCACCTTGTCTGTACAATCCAAGCTTGAAGAAAAAAAAAAAAAAAGCCAAAAAAAAAAAAAGCCGCGTGGCCGCATCAATGCCGGAACTTTGGTCTGACCAGAGACCGAATATTTTTTTTTTTTGGCCTTACGTCTATTTTTAAGGAAAGATGAAGTTTGTGAGAAATATGAGACCCATTATGTAGCACATTTATAAGGGTTTACAAGGTGCTGCGGCGCATATTGTTACTGGGTTCTTTAACATGCATTACACAACACACGGGACCTACGGCTTTACGCCCTACCCGAAGGACAAAGCAATAATGGTAAAGTGCCTTGCTCAAGAGCATGCAAGCACCACGTTCCCTGTCAGGATTCGAACCCATGTACCGCGGCACACGAGTCGAACACCGTAACCATTGGACCACAACACCCCACAAGAAAACCATAGGGTGCTTGGGCAGTTTTGGCATTACAGGGAGTAATTAACAGGCAGGGTAGTTTCGGTGGGTTGAGTGACTAACAGTTTCATCTTGGGCTACGTCAGAATTACTTGGCTGCTGCTGGCAGTGACACACAGCTCACTTAAAATTTCTATTTGAAGAAATGTCTGGACTGATGAAGCTTGCTGATTCTGCGCTTTTCCAATTTACATAATGCAAAAAAAAAAAGCGTTTTAAAACAGCATCATGTTCCTATTTGTGTTGAAGATGTTGGCTGAAATACACACATAAAACGTAGCTAAAAATGGTGCCAAGACTCATGGAATTATTACTTCCATGTAGTGGCTGGATAATTTGTACTTTTGAATTTTTAGCCAACCTCTTCAGACTCACCCGCCAACCTCCCGCACTGAAACACTTGGACAGGCCGCTGGATATAATGGTGCCTTCTGGGTAATACTGTAACGCAACAGACAAAAATAAAACAAACATATTTGAAAAGGAGAAATACTATTACTACACCTCATAAATATTCATGATCAAATTGGAGCTTGTCATTGGCCGATTCTCACATCAAAGAATTATCAACCTTTGGAACATTCAAATCACACGAAACTCTCTGTAATCTTTGTCTTACTACATGTACTTCATTATTCAGCGCATTGGGACTTTGTGTAAAATTGGCTTTATAAGCACCCTTTTTAGCTGTTTCGGTGTACAGCTCTTGTTTTTGTTATTTATTTTTTTCTCTCTTTTTTCCCCACTTTTTTCCCCATAGGATAAGTGTTTTCGTTCTACACAAGACTTTGGGACTTTTTTCACATCTAATCGACTTCAAACCTGGTACACACTTAGACTACCATCTGAAGATTCAGGCCGAATCATGACGTCATCGTGACGTCATCCGAAAAGTGTATATTTTAACGCCCTATAACTACAGAACCAGAAATCCGATTTGGTTCAAACTCGGTATGCATGTATTCCAGGACGTGTTATAGACAAAAATTGCAGTGACGCTACGATGACATCATCATGTGATTTTTTTATGAATCATTCCATTTTGGACCTTTTAGTCATATCTCATCAATGGAACATGGTAAATTCGAAATTCTTTTTGTGAAAGGTTTTAATTAATTAATTTTTAAAATGTTAATATATTTTTTGTAATTGCAAAAAATTAAATAAAAAATACGGTCAGATTGACTGCAATTAAAGTGGCACAGACCAAGAGCCTCGGCTTATATTTTTATATTCATGTTGCTTCGTAAGGACGACATCATTATTCATTAGACGTCATTATAAACATGGCAATTATTATGACGTCATGTTGACGTAATCATGTGATTATTAATCAGTTGATTTCTAATGTTATTCCCACCCTGGCATATCATAAATGTTAATACACGTACATTTGACTTGGATGAAACTCCTTCATGGCAGTTACTGCGAAAATGGTCAAAACAGCTCAGTGTTTGTCCACAAACACATTTCTGGTATATTATTATTATTATTATTATTATTATTGACATTGATAAGACTACTTTCACTTAAAAGAGCTAGTTTCATTAACGTATCTATGAATTGATTATGGTTATTTTTGTGAGGAGCTATGTATAATATCAATATGTTTGTTGTTTGTTGCTTTTTGTTTACCTTTGCCAGACTCAGAAAGTCTCCCTCATACTGTGTGTGTCCGTAGATCTCGTCACTCAAAACGATCACGTTGTGCTTGCGAAGAACTACACTGTAAACAAAGTTTAAAATAAATAAAAATTAAAAAATAAGGAAGGCCTCAGGCAGTGTTGTAATACAGTCCCTCACAACTCCTTCACAAGTTCCGTTTCTGGATGGGACGTAAAGCCGTAAGTCCCGTGTGTTGTGTAAGTCTGTCACAGTCAACCACAAGTCACAAGCTATTCAAATCAACTGTGACCAAGTCATTCCCTTTGAGAGCATTCATCCTGTTACTTGTGACTGGGCTTACTTGAATTGACTTCGGAGTGTCATGGCCGAGCATTTAAGAGCACCGGACTCAAGCTCTCTGGTGTTTCTAATCAGCAGAGTGTGGGTTCGAGTCCCGGTCTTGACAATTGTGTCCTTAAGCAAGACACTTTATTGCTTCGTCCTTTGGATGGGACGTAAAGCCATAGGTCCCGTGTGTTGTGTAATGCACGTAAAAGAACCCAGTAACAATTATCGCTAAGAGAAGGGGTTTGCCTCAGTGTTTCTGGCAGTGGCTGCTTAATGCGCCGCAGCACCTTGTATACCCTTAGAAGGTGCTACATAAAATGGGTCTCACATTTCACATACTTCATTTACCTGTCTTTAAAATAAATTTGTTAGCGCCTTGAGTACCTAACTGTTGGTAGATATGTGCGCTATATAAGACTCCCGTATTATTATTTTTATGTTTTTGTCATTGAGTCAATTTGAACAATGACCTTAAGCATGGAAATACTTCTTGGATTGGTAACAGGATTGACAGGGGAGACAGTTAAAGAAACATGTTGATCATTATTAAAAAAGGAAAGCAAATAGGGCTCTTCCAAAAATACTGAATATCCGAACATAAGATCATCCACCGAATATCTGGATAGCTTTTACCGAATAAAATATAAAAAAAAAATTATTGATAAATTATTGATGTAAATTTACATGTATAAGCTACGTGATTTTACATGTATAGCCTAAATTTGCATTGTTAAAATCTGTCCAATGTCAGCTAGTCAGCTTTCTCAAAATAATTACACATGTACATGTATTGATACAATACATGATATTGATGTAATACACGATATTCATAAACTGTTTTTACCGTAATGTCAATGTTCATATATTTAAAGGGAATATACATCATTTGCTTTTGCTGTAATTTTCAGAAATGGATGGAATTGGGGGATTGGAAATATAAAGCAAATATAGTTACACTGACTTTTTGGAGGTTTTGGGTTCGAAAATGCTATAAAAACCAAGAAAAACGATCATTTACCTGTAGTCTGGTTCCCTGACTCCATATAAGAAGAAACAGAGCAGTTTACATACATTGGGGAATTGTAAGGTCAGGGAACCAGTCTAGCTGGCTCGTACCCGTTCATAGGTTTGTAATCGATTGCAAACAAGTGCAATAGTCAATTGGGGCCAGTATTTGAAAAAAAGCCAGTTGTTTCCAACGCTGATCGGCCGATCAGCGTTGGAAATTGATACAAAAATACCACTTTTCTTGAAAATGACAGTATACCAGGTGCCATAATTTTACAGGATGCTTTAGACTGTCATTTACCAACGTCCTATTAAGGTATTTCGCAAAAACTTGGTAGTTTTATTTTTCGATGTTTGCAAATGTTGTATATTCCCTTTAAATATTTGATCAAATTCAAGTTCCAATAATCTAATACTAAATTACTTGCAAATGCACAGCACTAAAAGTAAAATAGTCACATATAATGGGGATTTCATTTGGAAAAAACCTGATCAATAAACGTTTTTGTTTTTACTTGGCCTTATATAATTGTGTGAAAAACTACAACATGTACAGAACATGTAGGCTGCCAGTATAGAATGTTGTTTTGGTCATACATGTAGCTAGCAGCACTGGACTGATATGCCAAATCCCTGGCTTTTGGAGCCCTGCGTACCGGTACATGTCAACACTCTGAGTACCTATGCCAATGTTTATTACAAATGATGTAAGTGCACTTTGGCATCATTTAGTAATAAACCTCCTAATTCTACATACAAGTTTTAGTAACGTTATGCAGGAGATCACGTCGCCAAATAAAGTATTTTTAGAATTCCTCACTATTGGACAAATCAGTACCTGATCAACCCTCAACGGGTGGATATGGTCTGTCCTTACAATCAATAGGGGATTTACAATAATCTGATGAACCACTTGGTTGGGGGCGTCATCATGCATTGATGGGCGTCATGAATTGATGGGGGTGTCATGGGGTACATCACACCATTCGATAAGGGCTCTGATGCATGATGAACTGATGACTAGCGTTATAAAACGATAACAATCATTACAGACGTCTAGTGTGATCAATATATGGCATTCACTCCCACACATCAAGAAAACTGGATTTATTGCCTTGAACAAACATGTGCGTAGCAAAGAACTGCAGTGCTGCATACTCCACCCTCAATACATACAAAGGTGAACCAGTCTGTATGTTTACTTTTCAGCGACAGTAGTGACATACACATGTACCTACATGTACATTTACATGTCCTTTTTTTTTCAACTTTGTCGCTTTAGAATCCATCTTTTTTTCATTTGCCCACTTTAGTTCGCATATACTGCACTTATAATTCCCTCAAGAGAGACATTTTAATTCGGTTTGGCAAAAAAATCTGCCCTTGCACGTTACTCAGTGAAACCTTATGGACAGTGTATGGAATACTACTTTTGACAGTGTTATTTCTGCATCAAGCACACACTTGAAATCTTGAGTTGTTTAACATTTTTAATCAATAGACAGCTGATGAAATGTTATCTCTTTTTTGCATCCCTGGACCACACTGATTACAGACTCATAGTATCAAGGATCACAAACCATTTTATACATTAAACATCTGACTGCAACAATAAATTGCTAGGCACAAACTATTGTTTTCACAAATGTCCGAGCCAAGTAAAAGCAAGTACTTTAGTCCCAAGAATTGGACATGGCATGATGAAATACACTTTGGTTGGAAACCACATTATATTTCTGCAAACCAATTGCAAATTTGTCCAATTGTGCTCAGCTCAGAAATGTTAGGCCATTGTTTTGAATTTGCGTATTTCAGGTCAATGATTGACCTGTCAATCTATGCATACAGCAAGCAGTATGCAGCACTTTTATTCAAGGTCTCCCGTTAGAGGATTTTTTGTTGTTGCAGATATGGCATCCATGGAGCAATTATAAAATTGGTCATAAATTGTTACATGTACATGCATAGTAATCTCCCAGTAATACATTTTCAAGGCTAGCTGACAACAGTACAAAAGTATGAGATATCTGCATACATTTTATTGCTGAACTAATGATAGGGCTTGACATGTACCGCATACACTGCATTCTGCACATACAGCCAACCACCACCAGACTGTCTACATTCATGTCTGACCCTCGGGCATTAAGTATTGCCTTTTGTCATATCTTGGGTGTACGCTCCCCCTGAAGGCATACGCTCTTCAATATACGGTATGTTTACTCCTAACAACTTTTCAATTTGTATGTTTCAGTTAAAAATAAGTGGTCGGCGGACCGCATTTGTTGCCTTTTTTCCGCGGCATAATTTGTGTTATTAAAAAAGTCAAATTTTGTGCATTTTTAAACAATGACCTTTGACCTCCAATTTTGGAAGAGTTTTAATGAACCCCAACCCAAGGATCACTCCATCCAAGTGACATTCAAATCCATCAAATTCTGTAAACAAAGAAACATGAACAATGACCTCTAATGACCCCTGCATGACCTTTGACCTCAGTAATCCGATGAAGAATTGTGTCTTTCCACCCAAGGGTCGCTGCATCCGAGTTTCGTCAAAATGCATGAAAGCATGTAGGAGTTAATAATAGTTTGTCAAAAACTGAGCCTAAATTTAAACATACATACCGGGCTACGGTCAATTTCCAATACATAAAAAATACTGCTACAAATAACCTTCTATTACATGCATATCTACTTCTGTTTGCTAGAAAAGGAATAAAACTCTCTTATTATTAAAAACTCAACTTTAAAATTATGTAAATAACCCAACGGAATTATATTTTCAGTAATAATACTAATTACTGTATACATGTATGGGAAAAGCATCAACCTACCTTAGTGCTTTCAGATCAGGTTCAGAATAACTGATGCCAGCTGGGGAAATACAAAACCCCAAAGGAATTATACATTACCACTTGGTATTTATAAGCCTATACATTGTACATGTATGTTTGCAGTGCATATCAGCCATTTACCTTCTTCTTAAATTGTTGCAGTAAGGCCCAAAAAAAATAATAGTCGGTCTCTGGTCAGACCGAAGTTCCGGAATTGATGCGGCGACGCGTTTTTGTTTTGTTTTTTGGTGGCTTTTTTTTTTTCAAGCTTGTATTGTACAGACAAGGTAGGTACTATTTTGCTTTTTTTGTGTCCTCATTATACATTGGTGTCCTCCATAATTTGCCTTGGTGCCCTTTATCATTTGCCTTGGTGCAATTTCCCCATTCCTTGGTGCTCCTTGGTACAAAAATTTGAGGATACTGTTGTAGCTTCCGTGTTAATTTGAAAAAAAAAAAGAAGGTTGACGCACATGATTAAAATCGACGCGCGCGCTGACCAGAGACCGAGTATTTTTTTTTTTGGCCTAAGTGAGCAGAGTTTATTCTGAATCTGTGCCAGTGTTGTAGTGGAGACCCTGCAAGACTATCACAAGACCTCCAGTCCCAAGTCAACTCACAAGCTATTCAAATGAACTGCAACAAAGGCATCCGTATGTCCTTGTGTATGTCCGTATGTCCTAAACACCGCATACGGGATACGTATGCGGCTCGGAAAAAAATGTGCTTGTTCAATCACCCTTTTGCGTGGTTATTTCTGGCACATTATGGGCAATGTGCATTTCACGTCAAAATGTTAAGATATGTACATATGGGTTGGTGAAGTGACCACACAAAATGATGTTATAAACATGATAAACAGCTCGATTTTCAAGCAGGTAAATGTCTAGTTTTTAAAAAGAGAGTGGCCTTTGATATTTTACTTACTTGGATTATCTGGATTGCAGAAAATCAACAGACGATTTGTGGATGTGTTGCTTTCCAAAATTGCCTAGGATTTTTATGGAATGGACAAGAAACAAAATGTAAAACAGATAATGAAAAAAAAAAAGTCAAGAACTGGACAACCATATATTGTCCCAAAATCAGTAAGTAAATGAAGGGATGTATTTAAAACTGAACACTTTTCTTCATTTACCAAATTATTCTGGCAAAAGTCTTGTTCTTTAATAATAATAATAATAATGTTAATACCGGAGTCTTATACAGCACACGTATCTACCAACAATTAGGTGCTCAAGGCGCTGGAAATTATGTCTATTATTAAAGACAGGTAAATGAAGTTTGTGAGAAATATGAGACCCATTATGTAGCCCCTTATTATAAGGGTTTACAAGGTGCTGCGGCGCATATTGCAGCCACTGCCAGAAACGCCAGGGCAATCCCCTTCTCTTAGCGATAAGTGTTACTGGGTTCTTTAACGTGCATTACACAACACACGGGCCCGATGTTAGTCCAAGTACGTGCGGATTCATGGAAGACTATTAAACCTCAATGGAATGTTACCAATCACTCGTGGTATTTTTTAGCGAAATTAAGGCCAATGTGAAAGAGGCTTTTTTCATGTTTGGGAAACAGTTACTTTTATATGTGTGGTGACTTCTAATTACAATATACATGTACTACTACAAATGTTAAACATAATTCAAATCTTGATTCAAATCATAATTTAAATAAACTGGCTCAGCACAAATCTGTATAAAGCCAGCCTGCAAAGACAGCTACCTTTTCCAAGATTTCCGGTGTGAGTTTCCAGCCGTCCTGCATGCTGGAGGCCACTTCAAAGGCCCGTTTGCCGGCCAGAACTGTCATTGGCTTGTAGGTGATCCAACTGGGCGACAGGATCAGCACGTCTTTATACATGTGCACAACAAAAATAAAGTGAGATAGTACAGTACTTTTACTCATTGTTGCAGTCAGAAAGCACATCAAAAGAAACAATCACACAATAAAAATGTGTAAAAAAAAAGTAAAATATTTGGAACCACAAGTTGTCATTCTCACCTCCATTAAAGACTTGAACCAGCAGGTAAATCAGCTGCTTAGTTCCTGGTCCGACGATAACTAAATTTGGGTCTAGATGCATTAGACCATCCAACTCAGCATGGAAGTTACAGATTTGGGCGCGCAGTTCTAGTAAACCTATTGGATAGACACAACACAAACACTGAGTTCTTGTGAAATGGAAATAGATTAAAGTCCAATCAACTAATTCTGATTGTTTTCAGACCACCAAAAAAAAACAGAGAGAAAACAACTTTCTTCACTATTAGTTAAACAAAACAGGAAAAATTCTCAATGAAATAACCTTTTTTTAATGTACATTAATTGTTTATGCAATGATTGGGAAAAGCGCAGGGGGATGACGTTGGAAAACAATACATAATTAAACAATCAAAACATTACGTGTATAACAGGTGTTTTGATGGAAGAGGCCAGACACTACATTTATGTCACAAGTTTGTTTAGCACAAGTAGTTATGCTAAACAAAATCAGGTCATACTGATATGGTGGTGGGTGAAATTTGTGAACTAGTGAATTCTCAGTGCATAGACAGAGCTAAACATATGATTTAGCTCTTTCACCGTCAAATCTTATTAAATTTGATTGTGCTAAAGTACTTTATGCCTGGGTAGTTTTTGTCGCTTACTTCACCACCCCTTGTTGTGCTGTTTATTGCGAAGCTGATTTTCTTTTTTTCACCAAGAAAACTTCCAAAACAATACTTTTTATAACGACCTTGTGATGAATTGGACACAACTTAATTGTACCTGCAACTGGAAGGTAGGCATTTTCTCCGGCGTGCTGCGCCAGAGCTCGACGAGCCCCATCAACGACGGGGAACGGCGACTGGCCAAAGCCAAAGTGATAAATGGTCTTCCCCTGGGCCATCAGTTGGCGTATCTGCTCATTGAGTGCCATGTTGGATGCCTTGCAAGAGCCTTGGAGGCGGGGCAAGATGAAGGAGGAGTCGTCGACAGTGGGGCGCGGATTCAACAAGGAGGAATCCATCTTGGATATATCACAGACACTGAAGGTGCTGGGCATCAGAATAAGTTACAAGGTTGAGAGAGAAATCTATACAAAACCAAAAATAAAACGATTGTATTTAATCCCGCGATTACACTAGTACTGAACTTGAAGCAAGCGTATACTATAATTTGAAACCCCATTAACTTCTTTTGATGCTTCCTCTTCCTGTATTGTTTTGCCTCTGAAGAATTCCTTGCTCAGGATGCAGTATCAGACCACTCTAACTTTTGGAATTTGAGAAACATTTCAAATTTATCACAAAACGCTTTTAGTGATTAAACATCTGCTGAAATCTGCTTACCGAATAGTCCGAGTAACTTGGACCCAACTTATCGCCTTTTTTAACTATCGCCAGACCATGTCCAAATGTTAAAAAAGGCTATAAGTTGGGTTCAAGTTACTCGGACTACTTACCGAATGAACCTAAAATCCTCCCAGTACAGTATCTGTCTCCAGAGCAAAAAATATTTTATCGAAAAGGTGCCGTCTATATTTTAACATAAATCTTTAATGGTGCTCTGTAAGTTCCATTGCCTGGTTCGCATTCTTCAGCTGCAAATGTAAAATGAAGTCGAAGGACGATATTTGCACCGCGAAATCGTAAAAACTTTTACGGGATCAAAATAAGCACAGCGCGTTAACAAAAATAAATCGGCACACCGTGTAAAGTGAATGGCGCCCCCAATCGCCAAACATCAGACTTGCATCAGTGAGTTGTGTTCTCCTTTCAGCATTAAAACATGTACAAAAACCATCTCCAACGCCACAGGTCGATGAGCCTGAACATGCATATAAACCATGTACAAAAAACATCTCAAACGCCACAGGTCGATTTTGCATATACATGCATTAAAAAACATCATGGTACAAAACCCAAACGCCACAGGTCGATTTTGCCTATACATGCATTAAAACATGTACAAAACCATCTCAAACTTGAACGCCACAGGTCAATGAGCCTGAACATGCATATAAACCATGTACAAAAAGCATCTCAAACGCCACAGGTCGATTTATAAACCATGTACAAAAAACCATCTCAAGGCGCCACAGGTCGATGCACTCATGCAGATTTATTCCGCGGCCAGTGCCAAACACAGGTCGACTTATTCGTTATAACTCCACAGAAATACATGAAAAAGATTCAGGAACAATAAACCACTGAAGAAGGGCCCGGTCCGAACGCTTGAGAATTATTTTGGTAAGCACTACTTATAGCCGGACATTTTTTATACCTCCATATAAATTGCATGAAATATTGATAATATGCACTTAATTCAGACGTAACTAATAATACAAATTAAAGCACGATAAATTTGGCAAAAAGGACACGTAAAACATTCCAAAATTGTAATCAGCCTGTACATTCAAAAGAAAAGACACGGATACATGATCCAGATCAAGGCTGTTGTTAATTCCAAGTTTCAAGTTCAAGCTCTGAACCGTCTTATCAATATACCTGATCCGGTTAGGATTGATGTTCATTCTGTGCCATTAAACGACGCAGATACCTGATACCTCGGGAACACGGGTAGCTGTAATTAAATGTGAAAAGCATTGGGGAAATCACTAATGACTAAACCTCACAAAGTGTATTGTAGTTTAACTGTATTTTTTCCAGATGGTTGTTGTCCACTTACATGTAATTCTATCACTTCAACACACTTTTTTTGTTTCCCAAAAAATTTTTTTCAAGGTATTTCTCTTATGAAATCCAAGAGAAAAGTGTCTGAATTTTTTTGTGATCTACACATTTCAAAAACGCACGTTTTAATTTCACATGAAAATTGTTTATTGGATTGATTACAATTACTGGTCGTCAAAATGTTAGCATTAACTGCAGGTGTTAAATTTAACACTTTCTTCTTTAGTGTTTGAATAACCACTGTTCCTGGAAGTATTTAAAAACAGTAACAAACTCCCCACCAAAATTAAGCTGAATAGCGGTCAGGCTGAATTCAACATTGATTAAAACTAAAATATTGGAAATGTAACACTGAGGATGTGTTAATAAATGTTGGAATGTAACACTAAGGATTTGTTAAAAATGTTGGAATGTAACAGTAAGGATGTGTTAAAAATGTTGGAATGTAACACTAAGGATTTGTTAAAAATGTTGGAATGTAACACTAAGGAAGTGTTAAAATTGTTGGAATGTAACCCTAAGGATGTGTTAAAAATGTTGGAATGTAACACTAAGGATGTGTTAAAAATGTTGGAATGTAACACTGAGGATGTGTTAAAAATGTTGGAATGTAACACTAAGGATGTGTTAAAAATGTTGGAATGTAACACTGAGGATGTGTTAAAAATGTTGGAATGTAACGCTAAGGATTTGTTAAAAATGTTGGAATGTAACACTAATAAGGATGTGTTAAAAATGTTGGAATGTAATACTCAAGGAATTGTTAATAAATGTTGGATGTAACACTGAGGATGTGTTAAAAAATGTTTGAATGTCTTTTTTTTCTCGAAATGTAAAACTAAGGAATTTTAATAAATATTGAAAATGTAACACAAATAGAATTTTAATAGATGTTGGAAATGTAACAATTAGGAAGTTTTAAATACAACAGATTACAGTTTATAAACAAATCTGGCCGTTTTTGCCCAATATCTTTTGCCAATGCTTTTAAAAATGTCAGCTGCCTTGCAATTTTGGGCACATTTTACCAAAAGTTGGTCAAATCAAACCTGAAATGAACTAACAAGTGTAGTGATTTCAAACTAATGTTGCTAATTGTTGGCCAATATTTTATTATCAATCTGTTTCACAGTGAGTTAACTTGAAAGCACATTTGAATGCAACTGTTGAAGATTTCGATTGACGATTATTCCTCAAAACGTTGGAAATCTGATAGCCAGGAAGTGTAAAATAAACCGAGTTATAACCTATGGAAAAAATTCAATTCAATATGTTTTAATGTTTGATAGGCTACTTTTACTAAAATGCTACTAAAAGTGTTAAATAACAAATTATAAAATAAGCTGCATAAACGGAATGTTGGGAGGGGAGGGGAGGGGAAAAGTTAGGAATGGATGGGATAACGAATGTTCGTTATTATACATGTACAGGGCGTCCTGAAAATAATGGTGCATGTAAACCCCGCCATTTTCACCAATTTACAGCCGGAATTAACTGCAAATGTTTAAATGATCTTTAAGGTTACAGATTTAGCTTGAGAATACCATTTGTTTAATTAAGATTGCTTTTGTAAATCCAGAGATATGTTTGAATAACCGCAAAGCAACAAAAAATCTGTGCCACTTTTAGGAAGCGAGTGCTTCAAATATCAGACAATACCAGTATGGCTCTTTTGATAAGATTATCCCTATGGGTGTAAGACAAACATTCCATTCACACGACAATATAGGGTTTTGTTCTTATGTTGAAACGATTTAATAGTACAGACAGGTTCACTTCTTTAAAACTTCAACGAAAGAGTTCAATTAAATATAAATAAATATTGCACACTCTGCTTAAAAATGTTAAAATCACTAACAGTAAAGTGATTTGGTTTTAGACTAGGACTATACTGATTTTAACTGCTATACAGAAAGTGGCAGAAAATGGGTTTCTTGGCTTTGCCGTTATACAAACGTATCTTTGGATTTACAAAAACAATCCATTTTTTTCAGGACGCCCTGTAGTTTAATATCAAATGTTGGTTAAAATAACTTTGCCCAAACATTTTATAAACCAACTTTTTTTCAAGATGTCAGTTGAGTTAATAAAACCCAACAGCGAAGTTGAATGTACAGGTAACAGTTTGTTTTAAGTGTTGGACTACGACTCCTCAAAACTCCTGAAATGTAAGACCAAGAAAGTCTTAAATACAACAGATAAGTTGGTGAGACAAAGGAAGATCATTCTGAACTCTGGGAAACCATCCCATTCAGTGGAATAGATGTTCATCACCTAAACATCCAATATTCTTTAAATTTCCAAGCTGTTACTACATGTACTACAGAAATACCTTGAACAAAATATATTAAATTAATAAATTCACTAAAGTGTCTAAAAAAGTGGCAAGAATTGTAAAATGATGGTACAAATGAAATCCGGATAGTTTTCTACGTAGTTCTACAAAGCACCCCAATTTTAGAGATTTTTGACAATTGTTATTTTTCTAAATTTATAGATAATTGAAATATGCAGATAAATTTGAATACTTTGTTACAAGGAATGATATTATAAAACATATTTACATACACTATTAACATCTTTTAAATACATAATGTACAGGTTTACATGATTCTTAATATTTTATGTACTTTAAAAGAAGACACTTAAAAGTTGTTAATTTTTCAAAATACTATGAAACAATCCCCAAATATTTGGGAGAGCATGATGGGTACACTTCCCATCATCTACTCATCTGCAAGTCTGCAGTAATGGTTTCAACTATAATTTACACGTGGATGGGCAAAAAAATGGGGGGGGGGGGTGGCCGAGAGTGCATTTTCGAGCTCTCAGGGTGAAAAATGTGCAACAAACATATGCTGAATTGCATCCAAGAAAAAGGGTCTTCAGAAAGTAATTATTTTACAAAGTAGGCCTGATTGGGGGGGGGGGGATGACGGATGGGGACGACGAACAAAAAACCAGATCTAGTTTGCGATCAAGACTAGATTCAGAGCTGAGAAGAGCTGTCTGAATACTTAGTCGTCCCCATGGACTGTGCTGGTAGGGAAGGGTATAATGTTGGCAAGTTGTTGACGCTGGCCTTTTTTAACCCACTAACACAGTGCTTGGATGGCTTTGGGAGGTATTGGGAGTAGCGAACCCAGGGGCGGCTGGAGGTGTAAAGGGGGGGGGGGGGGGGGGGGGAAACACGAACCTGTGTTCACAGGAACGGAGTGCCCCTCTTTTTTGAAGCGATTGGGCCAGACTGGAGTCCATGAAATGCTACTGTGGGGGGATCGCCACACCTCCTCCACAGCGAGTCTGTTACCTTCCCAGCATTGAATAATGCCGGTACCCATTTAACACCTGGGTTAAGAGGAGTAATTGAGGTAAAGCGCCTTACTCAAGGGCACAACACGCATGGCCACGGTGGGGTTCAAACCCACAACCTCACGATCATGAATCCTGTGCCCTACCGCTAGACCACACGTGCCGAAATAATGGGTTAAACTTTGGTGAGACAAGAAATCCATTTTAGCAGAAAATCAGCAAGTAAAGTTCATCATTGGACTCTGTGCAACAACAGTAGATGAGGCTTTGTGATCACTTTCAAGAGCTTCAGAAGGAGGGAATACATGTACTGCTTATGTGCACGATCCCACACAAATGGTGCAAAGTACGCACGACTAAATCTATCCTGAAACTGTACAAACCCGTGGTGTCTTTGCGTGAGATCACGCGCAATGGTCATGCGTTTGAAGCTCCCTCCTAATGGTCTCCCCAACTCTCCCTTTCTGACAGTTGAGGGGGTACTTATGCACAGATTCGTTAGGCCAGTGCGTTCTTGCTTCGTAAGTCCAGATCCCCTTCGTTGAGTGCATATGACAGGAACCAACAACAAAATGCTTCTGTTCTTGAATATTTTAATCAGCAGATGTTGAGTTTACTGATCTCTGACGTGCTCTTCTTTCTCTTGCGCTGTTCGTTGAGTTCGTTCCATCGCTTACGGTTGGAGCGGACGCCCTCGAGCATAGTGGTGAACATGGGCGAGACTTTAACTAGTGACTGTGGGAGGAATTTGAGAGGAAACAAAACGTGAAAGACAGGGTGAGCCAGAGCTATTGTCATGATTGCTAGCCAATGATTATTTACCACAGAGCTACATTAACCCTCCTATGCAAACAAACATTCTGTGCCAAGTTGTCCTTTCAGTCAAAATCAATAAAGTGACTGTTTTTAATAGTTGAGAGCTCCCAGCCTACATAAAGCAGGATTGACTGGCTGTGACTGTTTATGCAACTTGATACAGCTATGCTTTCACTGTAGGCGATTGATAAGCCAGGTGTGCTTTTTGTGAACATTTTGCAACAGAAGTATGACTGCAGTGCATACTTGCGTGCTCCATGTCAAAAGACTGTGGACTTTGCACTATTTTTTTTTTTTTTCAAATTTGGAGAAAGTTCAATTAGATGCCCACACAAATTTCATTAAAAATACCTGTGCGCTCACATACTTGTGTAACACAAAACAACATAATGTCTTGGGTTAAACCCACTCTTCATGCATTCATCTCTACTTCATCCAAGTTCTAAATTCTTCAGTATTGTTTGCTGGACCTGTTGATTGAGACTTTTTTACCTCATAGAGTGGCAGGCAGACTCCGTCAATGAAGCCGAGTTGCATTTGCGGTAACTCGTCCTTCCGATTCCTGTCAAACATTGTCTGCAAAACAAACAACCACAAGGCATAGATGTTCAGCACATTTTTTATTAGCAGGGTGGTTACGTGTTAATGAAAACTTTGGTAAAACTATTGAAGTATCTGCCAAAATTACAGTGCAAATAGTTAACCCACTATTTGAGTTCCTGTACTTCCATAGCTATCAACCTTTTACTCTACATGTAGATGTACAATACAGGGTAGGTTAAAAAAAAAAAAAAAAATGTTGGGACTAGTATTGTTTTAGTGAAGTTCTGCATGTAGCACTTTCTAAATCTAGGATATGAAAGCCCAATTCATAAGCTTTGTTTTAGTACAAGAATCATTCAAATCACTCATGTACTTTTCAAGTTAGGGGATTTTAAACACAACCACCATTTTGCAGTTCTGTCCACAGATCACAAAAAAAGTGTGCGTTCTTTCAGCAAAAAGAAAACAATTCACACACATCCCAATGTGATTTGTTTGAGTTTTACTGAAAAAAAAAAAACACTTTTTTTGTGATCTGTGGACAGAACTGCAAAATGGTGGTTGTGGTTAAAATTTGAATGATTTGAATGTCCTAAAAGAAAGCGTATGAATTGGGCTTTCATATCCTAGATTTTGAAAGTGCTACATGCAGAACTTCACTAAAACAATGGTTCCTACATTTGGGTTTCGTTTTTTTTTACTCACCCTGTATATGTATGCACCCCGTGCACTGGTACCCCCTCAATGGTTACAAGGACAGAGTTGGGGGAGACCACTGGGTGGACATGTGACATTGCATTTCCCACATCACCTGACACTCACACAAAGATGCCAATGGTTTGTGCGTACATACATTTTGTAAGTTGTGCATACTTCATGCAATATGTATGCAAACCACTTCGCACATGTGGTGTGTCCCTCCATTGGAGCTTTCAAAAGTGGTCACTAATGTTGTGCAAACCCGACCCGAAACCGACCTGACCTGAACCCGGGCCGGGTCGGTTTTTCCATCATTTCAATCGGGTCAGTTTGGTTTCGGTTTTGCGTTTGCGATTTTTTGGTCGGGTCGGTCATCCTCTAAGAGTGTTAATTAATAGCAAACTACCTCCCCAACAACTAAACAAATTGTCTTAAGTCATTCTTAATGATAATTGAATGTTAAATTACAAAGTTCCAAGGTAACGGGGACAGGGAAAATATCCCACTTTGGGTCCTAAACTTATATAATGACCCTTATGCATACATGTGCATAATCTGTGAATCTGCAGGCATTTACCGTGGGCTCAATCTTGAGTTCATTGCGCTCCTTGTCTCCCTGGTCAAAGAACTCACTTGTCACCAGCTCTGCGATCTGTAATCAGTTCAAGAAAAGAAGTGCAAACACTGATCACACCTAATATCAATTGAAAAAAACAAACACATTGATGGCTCAACAGATATCTAAAACTTAACTTCAATACGCCTTGCCCATTATACATCTCTAGTTGTGAATGCTATAGACCATTATCATGATGCGGCCATCTTGATTTTTCCCATTCAAATCAACATAACCAACGTGAGGCTGGAAGGAAAATAGTCTGGTTCCTTTTTGCACAAAAAACAGTATCATTCAGTACTGTTATTGGATACAGGGAGCATGACTGAAATGGTGGCAGCATGACTGAAATGGTAGCAGCATGATAAAGGTCTATACTTTGTCCCCGCCGATATGGAGGATCATTTGCTCTTTGTGGTTTTTTTCCATTTGAAGCCTTAAAATTGCTCAACAGCTTCAGCAGGGTGCATAACATTATAACCTGTTGAAGTTGTAGCTCAGTAGCTACTATACATTTTGAGAAAGCAGAGAAAACATATGCACATTTAGTTAGGTCTTGTAACAGGATTCCGTTGCAAATGCACATAAAAGTGTGCCTGCGGGCACACTTTTTTAAAACCACCTTCAATGGTTCTTTCCTTCCAAACAAAACCATTTTAAGCAGAATTCTTTCACAGGGTATTTGGTACCATCCCGATCTTCGCTTTGAGGAAGGTTTTTTCATTAAATTGGTAGACACATGAGTGTCTCTGTGGATTACCCATGCTTCTAGGAGCCTTTAAGACTGAACCCTTATAACAGTCCAGACTGTCTGACCTTGTGTTGTATCCTCCATGGCTTGGTGCTTGCAGCGACGTCACAGGCTGTCATCAACATTCCTCTGCAAGAAACAAAAGCTTTCTCTCATTAATTCTATTGGAATGGCAGTCCAATAACAGCCGATTACCCACTGGAGATGGCCATTATGGAATCCGTGCATGAACAGAAGGTTGCCTTCTCTGAACACTTTGTAGAGCCAAATGGATGGGACGCACCGCGCGTATGGTACAAAGTACACGTGACTAATTTCATTCCGAATGCAGTGCACAAAGCCCTCGCGTCTTCGCATGAGTGTCACACGTCGTCAGTAATGCATTTGATTGTCTCTCTCAGTGGTCTTTCCCCAACTCTCCCTCTGTAATCACTGAGGGGGTACTTTACTTTGCACGGAGTCCACAGAATCTGTGTATTCCCTAAAGGGTCAAGTAAGATTTGAGGCTTTGCATGGTGGAGATACTAAATAAAGAGAGGTTTGCGGAAACACCATGTGCGAATAATTTCTCAACTAGGAGAATGGTTCTGAAAAGAACCAGAGGTATAACTCGACGTTCCGGTCAGTATGCTCTGACCGTCTTCAGGAGACAAAGGGAGAAAAAGGGTTACAAAGGGAGAGTTGGGGCAGACCACTAGGAGAGACATTGGAAACAGTTGCCAACTAGCTGACGCTCAAACGAAGACGCTATAGTTTCGTGCACAAAGTAGTTGTGCTACTTCTTGCCAAGTGTGTGCAAACCAGAACGCGCATGCGGTGTGTCTCTCTCACTGGCGCACTCAAAAGTGGTCAGAAAGCGCCCTCTACTGTACATGCACAGAGTCCATTGACCTGGTGAGTGGCATTTGGTTTCATGCCTGTCAACTAAATTTTGAATTCCTTTCCCAAGATGTTTTTGATGGGAAGTGGATTCAACAACTCTCACAAAGCATAATTTGATTACCAGTGTACGTATCCAGGTAGAGGCATTTTTAGATAAAAAGTTTTAGAAGACGCAGTTTTAGATGAAAGTGTGGCAACCATCCACAGAGAGATTGACTGAACATCTTTGATGGATTGATACCTGAGCAATTCCTTGTGCTGGGAGGTCCGCCAATTCTGCCTGCCACCCCGGACCAAGTCGAAGAACTGACTTCTCACCCTGGGGACAGAATAAGAGGAGAAGAAATTTACCAGAACTCAATTATCAAGTTTGTTCATTTAAAAGGATTAGATTAGATGGTATACAATAGAAAGTGTCGTGGTTTTCATGCTCAAAAACATTAAAATACATTAAAACTTTATATTACAAACATTAAACTACCACATAATTAAACTAATTCCCCCTTAAAATATCTCTCTCAAAAAAACAAACAAACGTCATGGTTTAGATGGAAAGAAAACAAACGATGGAAAAAAAACTAAACGCCATTTCCTTAATTTTAACTTGCCAAACTTTGTACACCCCAAAGAATGTTTGCAAAATATCCTATCACTGGATTTGTTCTTTTCATCCCAAATACAGAATACTAAGTAAATGCTTTTTTATATGGCATTTGGACTTTTTTAATTTTAGTCAAACAATAAAAAAAACTCAGGTATATTTTTGGGTTTTAAATGATAAGGCTAATGAACCTTTTTTTTTAAGTTCAGTTAATATTTTATTCAGTTAATTTAGATTTTTTTAATAATTTGTGTTAATTTTTATTATCCACCCTGAAATTTATCTATTGATACATGTACTCTCACTTTGTGTGCTTTTTTTGGGGTTTTTTTGGAAGCAACAAAAACATTCTCAAAAGCATAAGAAGGATGCATAAACCTGTTGATGTTCTACATTAGCTCAGTGGCTACTGTACATTTTGAGAAAATGTATAGAAGATATATGCACAATTTATATTATGTAAATGGATTCCGTTGCTAACGCAGGTAAAAAAAAAGTGTGCCTACAGACACACTTTTAAAGCCACCTGCAATTATTGTTTTCTTTCAATCTAAACCATTTCTGGTAGAACAATTTCACTTTGAGCAAGATTTGTCCCATTAAATCAGCAGGTACAATGTTTCTGCTAAGCATTGACATTCCAAATCACTATTAGTGATGGTTTCAAGTTCTCTTTTGGGCAAGGTTAATAAATAATTCAGCTGTAGTCCATCGATCCTTGACTTACTTGAAGTGTAATGCTAAGTCTGTGGCCAAGATGGCATGCTTTAAGACATTCATGACCTCGCTGTACTGCTCAGCTGGCATATTGCCAAAGATGTTGTGACCCTGGAAAAAAAAGGGAAAATGATTCAAAAATTGTCACCGTCATTTTCATATGGGTGTGCTAGCTAAAAAGCGGAAGAGAAGAAAATTGGTTGTTTCTAAAGGTTCTTTCCGCTTTTTTACCACTTTTCGGCCGCCTGAGAAAGATATGTTTTTGGGTAGCAGAAAAGCAGAAAATTTAAACGTTAAAAAGTTGGTTTAAAAAATTTAAAGGTTTAAAATGTTTAACAAATTTGGGGAAAGAAACAAAATTTGCCTGCCTTATAAACCGTTAAGAACTGGTACAAATGAACACATACATGTAACAATTTTTTTAGGTTGATGTTAACTACATTAAGATAACCGAAATCCAAGGTAGGATTTTACACATTTTTTTTTTTCAATCTTTTTTTCTTACCTACAACTGCAGGTTGACAATAATTATTTAGGAAAAAAATATTTCAAAGTGCAGGCAGTCTGGGGAATTGAAATAAAAAAAGTTGTCAAAAGGAGGAGAATTTAAGAGTGAAATTTGGATGTCACGAAGGTACCTGACTACTGAGGATCATGACTGTGTGATTGAAGTGATGATATTCCATGGTAGCCTTGGAACCATACAACTGAGACAACGGTGACTGACTCCTGGAAATTGAGCAAAGAAACAAAGGAACAAATAACAAAATTGTTTCCTTGAGAATTCCTAATTCAGATGGTATATGGGAACCGTTAACACATTATATGAACAAGTGCATCATAAAATCTCCCCGTTCTCATGATGAAAATTAAATTTGCAAATGTACGATGTTAAAAAATTAAAAATTACCAGGTGCATGACTAAGGAAATAGCACAAGTTTTTGTCCCAGTTGAAAAGAGAAAAAACCTTACTTTTCCTGGAAAGCATTGTTGGTGCCTCGATGGTCCAAGTCGTGACACAAGCAACCGACCAATAAGGAGAGCTGTTCTGGCTCAGTCAGGTAGTGAACAACACTTGTATTCTGCATGAGACAAGGAATACGACGGGTCAAAGTGGATAACTGAATAAAACGAAACCTAAAAGATGGGCTGTGAAATAATGATTGTATCTATTAAATACCGCCCTCATTAGTCAGCCCCTGATGTTGGTTAGTTGGTTAAACCTGTGTTAGGCCCAAAAAAAAGTCTCCGGTTTCTGGTATGCGCGCACGTCGCCGTAGCCATGCGCGTCGGCAAAATGAAAAAGTTTTTTTTCTTTGAAAGATGATGTCTCAAAACCGCCAAACTCACTGGTTTGACTGGAATCCTGCTGCTGCACAATTTTAACCTGTTTTTAGATGGGGTTATGATCGAGAATAAGCTTTATGTGGCCTCTCTGGACTCCCATATATTTTCACTAAGTTTAGTCGGGCACCATTTGCAGTCATCAGCCGACATTTGAAGCAAAAAAGTAAGGTAACAAAAAAAGAAAGCCGCGTCACCGCATCACTTTTTGGGCAAGCTCCATACCAGAAACCGGAGACTTTTTTTTTTGGCCTTATGGGCGCGAGTCTTCTCTACAGAGTAAACGAGTGTCAATGCTTTTGCTGCGTTGCTGCCAATGTTGGAATCCTTACTAGCTAAATGAGAATCATGTCATGATTGCTGATTTATAGGGAGTGTACCACAAGATGGCGCAATTTAAAACATGAGGCAGGAAATTTAGAAGACCAAAAGAAGTTGTTTTCTCAAAAAATGTATACTATCTACTGAGCTAAATCTTTTAACAGGTTAAAATAGGGCCTTGCTTCATATGAGGTACTTCTTACAGCTCAGTTGCCGCATGTGACAAGTGAACCCCGCCCTCTGTTGTCGACTGTGTATAAGCGATGACAAACCTTGCCTGTATGGATTCCGTTATAGTAGACAGTGCTGTGTGACAGTGATTTACTGTTGAGAAACTCATGACACTGTGTGAATGTGTGTGTTCACGCGCAACCAATTTTCAACCAATTTTTCACCCAAATTAGTAACATCCGCACTTGACAAGAAACACACATGAGCCTATGTGCATAGTAGCATTAGCATCTCAGTGTTATCTAATAACAGTGTAGGTAAAGGTGCACCTTCATCCGAAGATCGCCAATTTTTTTTTAAAATATTGTTTGGCAGCCATATTTCAAAGGTCTGGTCACAATAAACCCACAAAATGTCTCACCTTTACAGAGAATATTTTAAACAGAAGCATGTGTGACTGGAATTATAAGGGGGCACATGCTCCAATTAGTACATTTTTGATGACCAAAATTGTATACCCCGAAATTCCTTCATGTTTAATTACACACAAATCAGCAAATTTAAAGGTGTACATGGTAGTTGTGTGAATATTCACATTCTACTATTCAATGATTCTTCTAAGTACATTGTACAATTTAATACCATTTTTTTGTGATGCATATGCATTTTCAAGACTGAATGAGCTAAGTTATGCGGTTATAATTTGAGTCACTAATAGACAAAGTCAAAATGGTGGGCAGGGCTCTGCAGAGGATGGGTGGGGGAGGGGGCAAAGGGAAAAACACAAGAGTTTGATAGGAGTTTTGAGAGATGGTCAATGAGTCTAGCATTAAAGATTTCCTACCTGTAGTACAGCAAACATCGCTTGCTGCACGTTGAAGGCATGTCTGAAGTTGTGATAGGCAACGGGTCGGTAGTTCTTCCTAACTGTCAACAGGAATCGAGTCATCGCCTGAAAAAAAAACAGGGTCATCAAAAATGGATCAAAATACTTTGAATCAAGAGTCACGAGGTAGCATAGTTAATTCCAGCTAAGCTTTGATGAGCGCCATCTTAATTACAAAGGGATACTGCTGGCATTGTTGGGATGGGGGGGGGGGGAGTTGGTGTGACACACTCCCATTATTTGCTTTGAACTTTCTTATAGCACATGTCGTCAAAATATTTTCAGTCGGCAGTGATACTTACATTTGTACACAGCACTAAATATACTAAAGTCTCAAAGTGCTTCATGATTATTACCCCCGTCATCAGGCCATGAGACAACTTTTCTGGTGCAGCTCCAGATCAGCGAAACCCTCACACCAGTACCCATTTACATGTACACCTATATACTCCAGAGTGGAGAGAAGCAATCATAGTAAAATATCTTGCCCAAGAACAAAAGCACCATTTTCCTCTCTGGGGTTTGAACCCACGTACTGTCATACATGAGTTGAACACAGTAACAACTAAACCAGCGCGTGAACTCCACGTAAAGTCACGTTTCCAGTCAACTGCAACCTTTCTGTCAATGGGCACCACAACCTCACCCACAAACCTCCACCTCAACCGGCCCCCTCACCTCGGGATCAATCTTGAATTTCTGCAGCAGTCCAAGGTCCATGTATAATCTGAGCGACGCTTTGACCATCTCATCAGCGTCCAACTTGAAGTCATCAAAATCGAATCTTGTCATTCCCAAGGCTTGGATCTGCGGCAGCCGGGAAATCTAAAAAAAAAAGAAAAAAAGAAACACGTCCAAACTTAAGAAAAGCCCAATACACTCCATGCATCAACTTTGCGCATGATTACAGATCTGTGGATTCCTAATATCCTTGGGTGCTGCTCATGTGATGACCCTGTGATATTTGTTAAACAAGGAGATCCTATTACGAGATAGTAAGCTCGCTCATATGAAAAGGACAAATGATGAGAAAAACGAAATTGAACTGCATGCCCTGTGCAAAGATTACGGGGGGTTTTAAATTGAAAATACGCAAGACACGCTGCCAGCTTCTCTTGATTAAAGACTCATAATCCGATCGGCGTATTGCAACCTTTTTGGCTCCGAGGGGTTGTCGGCAAACATGAAGTATTCCGCTTGTCTAAAAAGTAATTTTGACTTAGACTCTCTTTGATCCAACAACAAACAGCGAGGGTGGGTGTGTCATTAAAAACGTGAGGGGGTGGACAGGATTAAAGGGCAGGTGGCAATAAGACACAGTGTGTCCCAACAGATTAAGAAAGGTTTGCTTATTTCAGAGGTAAATGTTCTCACATCTTTCACAATCTTTACCAAGGAGGGGCGGGAGCTATTTTAAGGAGATGGTAATTAGGTACGACATTGTGCAAATCAGAGAAAACATATCAATAATAATTAACCGGCCAAAATGCCGAGTAATATATGCCATCATAATGTAACTTCCTGCAGATATTTGTTTTGCAGATTCTTTGCATCGCACGTAGATTTGCTATGTGATATTAATAATGTAATATGAAAATGGGTCCAGATGGTCTTGCATATAAACATGTACATGTACATGTAGTTGTCCATCAACATGGTTTTCAACACATTGATCTCTATCATGATTCATCTATCATCATAACTGAGTACAGCTCATGTGTACAGTACCGGTATGCCCATTCTTGCTCAGTAACTGTGGGGACTGCACACATGTTGTGCCATGGTATTATGGGGACCGAAGACGCTATGGGGACAGCAGAAAGTCCCCATAACTCGGTCCTTATTTCCCTGGCCTGCCCACCCACATTTACTGTATGTGACTGTCTCTACATTATGCAAAAAGGTATCAGTAGAGTTCCCAACTAAGCTCTGCTTAGCTGTTTGTGTTTTCTGAAAGCTTGTGCCTGAGAGAAAAATATACTGTGCAAATTTACTCATCAGGTGAGACTTGAACTCTCCGCACGCCCCCTCTGTGTTGTGAACAGGTGTGTGGCAACAAATGTACAAAAGCTTTACTCATATATCACAAGGGAAACAAGAGCATGGCTGTCTTACAAGTTTGACGAGTACTGTACCGTACATGTACATACATTTATGTACACGTATGATGCATTCCCGTGCTATTTTCGAGTTTCACCTCGATAAATAGCTTTGTTTTTCAATTGCTATTTTCCTAGCAATATAACGTTTTTTTACTTTTAAATGAGACATGGAACGAAAACATCCACAGACATTTAGTTATTGAATTATTTCTTCACAAAATTCGACTCAATGGCTGCCAGACGCTGATGCCGCTCTTGCAGGGCGGGTTCACTGGTGCGCAAAAACGTAGATTTTCAAAGGATTCCAGACACCCAAAAATCGGAATAAAGCAGTTTTTTTTGTTAAATCAAAACAAACAAATTGAACATTTGTTAGAAAGAAAAAAATCTCTTTTTTGAAGAGCACAGGAATCATCTGTAGGAAAGTCATGGACCTCAAAAAAGAAAAGTCAAATCCTAGAATTGTGCTTCTTACTTTACTGTCTCTTTTCATGTTCATCCTCCCCTATGGAATGGTAATAACACACATGTACTTTCATCAACGTCTCAAACACTTAACTACTGAGCTTGCAGCTGTCAGCTGTCAATATCTTTCTCATTTTAAATCCACAGAAAATCACACCTGTCACACACGCAACTCGAACAAACTCATCAAAATATCTACGGTACAGCGCTCAAGATGACATGGTAACCCAATTCTCTTCCGGTTGAAAAGAAAAACTTGTGACTTCGTCTTGAAACGTCAGGCCCTCTTACATTTTTTTAATTGCTTTAAGCACTTTAAAGTTGCCTTGCCCGTGCTCTTCAACAAGTTCAATATTTTTCTATTAATAAATGTTCAACTTGTATGTTTTTTCCAACAGAAAAACTTTGTTTTTCCTTTTCTGGATGTCTGCAAACCTCTGAAATGTTTCTTTTTCTGTTGCGAGCAGACTGGTTCCTGGTTCATATACATTATTGATACTGATTGTGGGACAGCTACCGGTACATGTAGGAACCAGCCCAAACGGGAATTGTTGTCTGGCATGTCTGGCAGCCAATAATTCTAAATTGTACATTAATATTTCAATAACTAAATATACATGTAGGTCGATTTGTTTTCAGTTGATGTCTCAGTCTTTAAGCGAAGAACTTTTGTTTTGCTAGAAAAATAGCAATTTAAAAAAAGAATCTAGATTTTGGGATAAAACTCAAAATAGCACAGGGAACAAATCTTTGAATCTTTCTTGCTTGACTTTTTAATAAACAAAAAACTTAAAACTGAGAGAGTTAAACACGTAATTCCACGTTATCTCCCGCATCCATGTACATGTATGTACATGTACATGTAACAATCACAGCGAGAGCTAACATACTACATACATGTATCCGCTCAATATCCAAACCGGACGGTGACATTTAATCAATGGTCCAATAACAGGACCGCGCAGGTGCCTGTAGGCTTCGCTCAAGAGAGACAAAACAGCACTAAAACAACATAGCCCTGGATTCGTTGATTACACTGCGGTGTGAAAACGGTAAATCTTCATTTCCATTCCTGTCGGCTGTCAACTTCGATATTGCTCTGTCTGGAGAAGAGGAGCCGCAGACACCAAAGTGGAAAAAAAAGAGGAGTCTCACAGTCTCTGATACATGAATTGAGCCTTGAGATTCAAAACCAGTGTGCTGTATTTGAATGCATAATAAAAGTGGCTGTGGCTACATGTATACCATCAATGTGCACTGACAAATCAACACTGCCAGAAGCGAAATGAAAATCACTTCCTCTTCAGTCCAGACTGCCTGATTTTTTTGGGGGGGGGGGAGGGGAACTGATGCCAACCATGGTAGAAATTTTATAATTTATGCAACTGATTGCCAACCCCACAAATGGAGCTTTATGTTTATAAACAAAAGAAAGATCTGTTAATGTTATGCAGGGTAATACAAGTACAAGAGCTCGCTCAATCATGTTATCATTTCCGAATAATCCTGGTATGTTTATATTTCACTGCCCTCTCATCATCCCTTTCATCAGTGGACCAAAGATACTGAAATGGTAGACTATCATCAGGCACGACACATACATGTATAAACAGGTTTCTGTGAATTCAATTACTCATAATCACATGCAGGTCTATGCAAAAAGGGTAGCGAATAGGTAAAAATAGCTTTGGAAAGTCCATCACTCAATATTCTTTCTAATGGCTTTCAAGTCAGGCAGAAAATCTAATCTGACCTGCTTTTTGTCGTCAGCGAGCATACAAAATGTGATGTTCAATTGTACCGGTATGAATGAACATTGTACAACACATTGTAGTTCTGGTAAAATGGAACTGGTTCTATCAAATCCTCATATTGTGTTTTTTTTTAAGTTCCGAATTTAGGACTTTCCTGTAGATATTATTATTACTATTTATTTCTGGTGAAGAAACCAAGAATTCCTCAAAAGCGCCCCACTGGCAATGTAACTCATGAGCCTGAAGAAAAATGTAGAGAGGAGACAATGAAGAAATTACAGTTTTTTAGAGGTGGGAGGAAAACCCCAGAAGAATATTCCATTAACCGTGACCAGGTCCCTAGCCAGTTTTAAACGTAAATGTACTTGTCTAAAAAAAAGTTTATTCCCATGATCATATACTTTTGGGTCGAAAAGTCAAAAAAAGTCAAAAATTATATATTTCCAATGATTTTGTTCAACAATTTTACTTCATGTTTTGTGAAACACCCATCTACTGGTGCCTACATATGGCATGTGCCTCGCTCGAGCAGTACTACAAATCTCCTTATATGGAGATTGGCGGGCACGTGGCGCATACTGCGCTATAAGGCACAGAACACAGCGCTGCCGGGAACAAGTGTTTAACACCAGTCAGTGTTTTATCAACAGTTTAAAACCACCCACATGACGGGCTCTCGACCAATAGGAATTAGTAATCTGTCTTATTTATTAATGAATAATATTTAACCATATGCTGTGTCAACAAACATCTTCAACCCTGTCATCCAAATGTCATTCCAATTTCATAAACCAACACTCATCCATAGGCGAGCAAACCAAAGTCCAGTTCAGTGACCCCTACGTGTACGTAGTCAAGATGGGTTAAAGTGATCATGATTATCATCTCATATCTGTTGTAGTGAATACTGCACGTTTATTCCTCCATTTCAGGCTGAAAATCCAGTTTCGGAGTCCATGACAAGTCATCGAGCACCAAGTCAATTACATGTACAGCTATACAAATAAACTGTAGTAAAGATATTCCTTTTTCAGTGTTATCCCCTGTCACTTGTTACCAGATTTGTGAATTCTCTGAGAGGAGCTTGAATGTTTATAACGACAAATATATTGACATACATTGTAGTCAGATTGGACTTCAAATGTTGCATTATTTGACTTTGTTAAAAATATGGCTCATGTGAAAAACCACCACATCATCCCATCAAAAGAAACTTACCGGTACATATATCTGAAACAGTCTGATTTCTTTCATGGGGATTTTGAACAATGAATGCAAACCAGGCTAATACGATAGAATATGACTACATGTAGCAAAAATTGTTCATGGTTGGGTTTTACCTGGGAAAAAAATATCCTTTATCCAACTATGGATGTCCATCATCATTTGGAGGCTCCATCTACTGGCTGAAATTAGGTTAATGGATAGTGGGGGTCTTGTCATACTACAGCGCGATTGACTTTTAAGAAGTAAAGCTGTGCGGAGGTTTCAAAACAGCTTTTGA